AGTATCTTGCTAAACTGCTAAGTTTCCTAGGTTGGGCAAACTTGCAGTCCTCCTGCCTCAGCCTCTCAAAGAATTGAAATTACAGGTATGTGTTACCACATCCATTTCCCATACTCTCTTAATATCTTGTTTAAATAGTTAATAGTTAATGGTGCAACTTTTTAACCATAGGCAAGAAGTAGTCTCTTAGAGATTGATAAATTTCATACCTAGTGAGTGAGGTCTTTTAGGCATTAGAATCAGATCAGTACAAGGTCTAACTGAAAACTGGGCTGAGCCCAGTTGGTGTGGTGATGGTGGAAGAGCGGTCCTCTTCTAGCCGATTTAAGTTAAACTTCCCTTCCAGCTAGTACAGAAATTCTTAGACAGTGTCATCTCATTATGGAAGGACCCTAAATCTTAGAAGCCAGCTGCATTCTACTTGAGCAATGTTTTAAAAATAAAACCATACAATAACTAATTTATTTGGGTAAATGATAAGTTCACTCCAAAACTTTAAAAATAAAAATACAAAAAAAATCTTGTAATAGCACAGTCATGGGAAATTTAATATTTCTTTTGCTATGTTTTCCAGTCTTTTCCTTGCAGTCTGGGGTTTTTCATTGAAAACAGCCATCATGAAAAAAAGATTAGGAGTTGAAGGTTTAGCTCAGTGGTAGACAGCTTGCCAGCAAGCATGAGGCTCCGAGTTTAGTTCTCAGCACCAAAAAATTAAAAAACAAAAAGCAAAAGGAGAAAGAGAGAGAGAAAGAAAGAGAGAAAGATTAGGGAAGTTAAGTGACTATTTTCAGTGCATACATAACTGTTAACCTAAATGATCACCCCCTTTTGGGTACTTGTGCTGCCCCACACTCACAGTGTCTCTTACATCTAGCTTAGTCGTGGTACTTGTTCATTTCTTCCTGATGATTTTGAAGTAAATTTTAGAGGCTCAGGTCCTGTGTAATGATTTTTATTAATGTGGGTCTGTAACTACATTCAAGAAGAGCTGGCAGCTTTTTTCAAAACAACACCCTGCAGATTGATGTGCTTTGTTGAAATTCCATGCCAGCCTGCCTTCACGGACAGGGTACTGAGAGGCAGTGCACTCCTAAGGTCCTGTCCACGTGGTGGTGGGTTAGCTTTGCCAAGTCCACGTCTAATTGAAGGGCCCAAGGACCAGGAAGTGTGCTGTAGAAAGGGGTCACCACTCCCCACTTAATGCAAGAGTTCAATTGTGTTTCTGCTTTTTGTTTCCCTTTAGGAATTTCTTTTTTATTTCCATTGTGATTAAAATCTAGGTGCATTAAACTGACACATACTAGAAAATGCTAATTTTTTGTTTTAATGTATATATTCTTAATTTCTTTGCGGTTTTCACTTAAAAAGAACAAGTGGTGGAGGACTATTGCTAATCTGTCTGAACTAGTGCATAAACTAGCATTCTGAAACCTCTCCACATGGAGCTGATTTACAAGAGCCATATTAAAAAGTCACTAAAGCCTGACACTTTGAAGGTGTCTTAACACTTGGTCACTTTTTTCCAACACATCACTTCCTGGTAGCCACAGGAAATCCTCTTAAGATTGAAAAGACAGTCGTGGCCACAACTCTCCTCCACCCCAGTACTGGGAGGGTGCAAGAGCTAGATGGCTAATAATTATTGCAATGATACAATGTGGTACATACGTGGTAAATATCTTTTATATTTTGTGCTACAATTGTAAAACCAGTTAAAATATGCAGTCTTCAAATAAAACGTGATTTTGGAAAATCTTTCTTGTCTGCTTAGGTTGACACGTTGGTGATGGGGCTATAGTTCATATGTCCCTCCGCCAGGTGGCTCCTAACCACCAGTGCTACATGCATGACTGTCTCATTGGGTGGCATAGGAGAGTCCCACTGGTGGCACCACTGGATGGGACACTCATGTACCACTGATGGCTCTGACCAGCAGAGATGTGTTAAATGTGCCAGATGCATACTTTTTCATAGTCCATTTTTTCTGTGCTATTTTTTTATAATCAGATACTAGAAATATACATTCATAATGTATAGAAAACTGAGTTACTACATTGAATTTGCATTATTGATTCATCTCTTTTCTCTGCACAATATTAGAAAATATTATTTTTCCTTGAACTTCATGAAAATGCTAATTTAGATGTGTGTTGACATTCTAGAAAACGATGGCTTTAAAAGCACACCTAGAAAACCGTACAGTAGAGTCTGACTTTCCGATGTGCTCTTAAGGATGCAGAGATCAGCTGTGGTATCACACACCTACAATCCAGCCTTCTGGGAGGCTGAGGCAAGAGGATCACCAGATGAGCCCAGGCTGAGAAATTTAGTAAAATCCTGTTATCAAAAGAAAAATAATTAAGGAAGAGAGAGAGAAAAAAAGCTAGAGATAATAGCTTAATGCAAAGCCCCTGACTTCAATCCTCAGTACTGAAGGGGAAAAAAAAGAGTGAGGAGTACAAAGATGCTGAATTTAATAAGCATTTTAAAAGAAAGCTCATGCGTAGTAGAAATCAGGCTTACTCATCAATTGAATGGTGAATTGATAGTGTAACTACCCCTTGATTTATTGAGAAGAAAAAAAACACTGTTAAGTGCCAGCTGTGGATGTCAGACACTTCTGGGAGACAATGGAACAAAGACAAGAGAAAAATCTCACCTGAAAAGTCAGCCATTAAAAAAAAATATTTAATTGTACGTATTTCAGGGAACAAGTCATTTTTCAAAGCCAAGTAACAGTGGCCATGGTGAACAAATAATTTGGGGTTTGGGGGTTTTTATGTTATTTAGTGTTCATGCACCAACTGCGTTGCCTTGTTTTGCCCCTTTGGGTTGCCTATGCCCTCCACCCTGGCTGCCGCCAGTCCTTCTGCGGACAGTAAAGAGTCTGCGTCAACCCCCTCACCAATTGCTTTTGTTTTTTTGTTGTTGTTGCTGCTGCTGTTTAACCACCGAGGCTCTGAGAGTTCTGATCTCTTGGCACCAGCTGGCATTGGCCGGGGTGCTGTCCCAGAAGGGAGGACGTGGAGGAGGGACCCGCGAATCACAGTCTTCTCTCAGTGAGGAATCAGCGCTGCTCACTGGTTTACTTTTCCTCTGGCAAATAAAATTGCCTTTTCATAGTTTCGTGTTACCAAAGGGAATAAATTATCTGTTCAAATGTATCAGTTAATATAAATGACCTTTTATACTGAACTTTCCCCCGAGCATAGGTGTTTGTTAACTGGGAAAAAATATCCATTGTCTGGATGTTTTTCAGCTTTTCTCCATCTTTCCTATTAGAATCAGTATCACCCAGTTTGATTGAAAATTTTTGTTTTAAATGCAAAATGCCAGGTTTTCTTAAATTACTTTGTATATAAGTCCAGCAAGGCCTTTTGTTTATATAGATGACTATGCATCTTTAGGTTTTAAATGTTTGCTATCAAAAACCATATAGCTGGGGCTGGGGATTTAGCTCAGCAGCATAAGCGCCTGCCTTGCAAGCAGGCAGGCAGTCGTGAGTTCGATCCCTGGTACCGATAAAAAGGAAAAAGACAAAACAAAACAAAACAAAAAAAGCATATAGCTGGCTTTTCTTGTTTGCAATTCGTCTGACAACCCCTTTTTGAATATTATGATTATCTGTACTATTCTTCTTTTTTAGAACTGTAGTTTGTGTTTTATGTTTGCTTTGTCTGCATTTCCCCTTTTGTTCTCTGCTTTCTTTTTGGTTAAATTAATTGTGTCTTTCCTCTGCTAGTTTAGAAGCCACATGCTGTCGTTCCTGTATGGTTGTTAAAATTTAACATGTAGATTTAACTTAATGAAATTTAAAATTAATCAATTTTACTTTGCTCCTGGATAAAACTTTTATAATAATTTTGACTAATTCCTTGAAGTACGTATTTTACCTAGTGCTTTAATTCTAGCTTGTTTTACAAATTATGCATTATCATTATAATTATATAGTGTCAACATGCATTTAAGTTTACTGGTATTATTTTTTTTCTTCTCAGATTACGTTCCTTTCTTAAATTTTTCCTTTGAAAATTATTTTATTGTTAGTCTGTATTAATAATGTGACCTGGTTTCTGTTTTTGTAAATATCTTTTCTGCTACCTAATTGACAGATGTTGTAAAGATGTTATTCTACTGTCTTTAACATCCCTTGTAACTGTTGAGAAGTCAGCTGTCCTAATTGTTCTTCTGTACTCTTTCTTTTGTCTAGTTCCTCTCAAAATCCATTGATTCTTTTCTGCAGTGAGAGGCCCTGCATTTAAGCTCTGTGGCTTTCTTTTTTTAAATTTACCGTGCTTGTGATCTATTGGGTTCCCTGAACCTGAAAACCTTGAGTTCTGCAAGAGCCATTGGCTGTTTGCTGTTAGAGATTTTTTTTTTAAAGGGATTTATTATTATAATGTGGATGGTGGCCGGGTGTGGTGGCGCGCGCCTCTAGTCCCAGCTACTCGGGAGGCTGAGGTGGGAGGATCGCTTGAGTCCAGGAGATCTGGGCTGCAGTACGCTATGCCGATCGGGTGTCCGCAAGTTCGGCATCAATATGGTGACCTCCTGGGAGCGGGGGACCACCAGGTTGCCTAAGGAGGGGTGAACCGGCCCAGGTCGGAAACAGAGCAGGTCAAAACTCCCGTGCTGATCAGTAGTGGGATCTTGAATAGCCACTGTACTCCAGCCTGGGCAATATAGTGAGACCCTGTCTCTAAAAAAAAATTAAATAAAAAAAAATAATGTGGATGGTGGTGATAAAAAGGCTCTTAGCACTTAATATCATAATAATCCTTTTTTTAAGGCCTGTCTCTCACTGTATTCTACTAGTTGTTTTTTTTTTTTAGCATTATTAAGATGACCATTTTATGGAAAGTTTATCTGAAAATAGTAACAACATTCTGAGCAGCACATAGCTACTCTTTTTGTTATATAGAAAGTGAGGCACTGTGAATTATAATTTTACTTTTAGCATTGAGACATTCATGGTTTTAATCAAGTTTTGTTTTAAACAGGCGCCAGGCATGGAAGAACTGAAATGGGAACAGTATACTGTGACCCTGCAAAAGGTGGGTTCTGCTGTTTCATATGTTCCCAGTTGTATTCTGTGTTTTATAGTTCATGGTTGTTACTCTGGGCCACACACAGTTCTGTGTTTTTTCTTACTGGGGTGGCTAATGTGTTGTTGTTAGTAGCTGGCAGGAATTGCCTATTAATGAGTATTTGGCTGCTGTTCTGTTTTCTGGGTAAGGTCTGTATACAGCAGAGTATTTTAGAGATTACTTAGTGTCTTCACCCATCTCTAGGTGGAACAGGTTATGAAAAGAGAAAAGAGGGGAAGGCTGTACTATGTAAGGGCATTCAGGTAACTTTTACAACTTGTGTAATTTAAATTAGAATATGCATACTTCACAACTCTCTCAAATTAGTTTTCAATGTGGCGTAAGTTTGAAAAGATTGGCTTAGGTATCAGGAGCTATGTTATCCCACCCCTGATTATATTAAGGGACATAGGAGTAGAATATCACACATAAATATATTTTTCATAGTTTAGGAGTCGTTTCATAGGTGTTACCTTCCTTGATCCACTGAAGTATTAATGCAGCTTCCAATTCATGGAATCTGGCAGGTACTCAGTGCTAATAATAATAATAATAAAAACATGTTGTGTGCATGTGCCAGCTCCCCACAATGAATGTAACCATTATGTATTGCAGACATGTACTAATAAACAAAGTAGAAGTTAACCCCTTTCCTTATTATTCTGACAGCAGAGTTCACAGTAGGTGTTAGTTCCATTCTAGGAAAGCATAGCAACAGAGAGCCTGAGTCATTTGTGTGATTCAGAATTCCACTAAGGCCTTTTTCTTTTCTTTTTTCTCTCTCTTTCTCCGTCTCTCTCTCTGCCCACCCCTCCCCTGCCTGCATCAGACCTACGCCTGGTAGGTGCTACACAAGGGAGGCCAGCAGTGATCTTTCTGCCTTAAGTCCCCCGGGCTCTGCCACTTCTTGAGGGATTGTGAATTCCTCAAAAGAGGAAGTTACCCTTTGACTCTTTATTAATTTGTTTGTTTGTTTTTGGTACTGGGGATGGAACTCACAACCTCCAGCTTGCCTGGCAGGCTCTGTGCCCCGGAGCTGTATCCCTGACCCTTCCTTTGACTCTTAAAACCATGAATGAGCTTTGATCCCTGTTGCATTAATGAAAACATAGTTTTCAAATTAAATGTTTGTTTAATTAATCCAAGTAGGAAAAAAATGTCACTGGGTCAGTGCCCAAGTGCTTAAACTTCTGGGTAGGTAATCCCCAATTTTTAGGGGAGGAATTATGCCTGTTTAGGTTGTGGCTTTCAACTCTAGTCATCTTTCTGACTCCTGTCCTTCCCACCAGCGTGTCACATATCCTTTGAATTGTGAGTTCCCAACTGGGAAACATGAGAAACTCCTTGGACTTGTTACAGAGGGTGGTGCTGCCATCTCAGGGCCACGAGATAAGGAGACAACAACCCAACGTGTTTTTGAGTTTGAAATATTCGTAATTAGCACAGCAGGCCCCACACAGGAGTGTTTCTTTGGGGCTAAAGATTTTCTTAAACACTGAAATGAAATAGAGTTGTGTATTAGCTGGGCTCACCAGCATTCCTGAATTTAACAAATCTTGATTTCCCATCTTCTGTGCTTGTGGAAAAGGGCTTAATGTTTTGCTCTCATAAGATCTCAATACTACTGTAATTTTATGTTCTGATTTTATGTTTAAAATCCAAGTACTTTTGACCTGGTATTATAAAATGAAACCACCAGGTCATCAAACTTGTAACATTGGTTCTCTCAGATTCAGGCTTAACTGAAGTTGCTGCACTCAGAGCAGCTTGACACAGGCAGGTCCAGGTGGTGCTTTGCACAGCACATCCCTGTTTAGACAGAAGACATTGTTTCCTTCCTCTGCCCCTGCCATCTTCTTGTGATAACTCTAGTGGGCGCCACTACCCACCTTTTCCGTCTTCCACAAGGCTGTTCCTTTCAGATAAGGAATTTCCTTTAAAATCTGTCGGCTCACTGCAGTGCCGCGTTAGTCCAGTTTTCATTTACTTCTACAAGCCCATCTGTTCCTGAGCTGTCTCTGGTTATTAATTCGACTTTTATTTTATTGAGTGCTTGCAGTTAATCCTGAAAGCCACTTACAGAAGGATTTTTTAAAATGTTTCTCCTAACTCCAATGAACAGGATTCCAAAAGAGGATTTGGGATTGCAGTGTCGGGAGGCAGAGACAATCCCCATTTTGAGAATGGGGAGACCTCCATCGTCATTTCCGATGTGCTTCCAGGTGGACCTGCTGATGGTTTGCTTAAGTGAGTGTCACTTCTCCCTACCCAGCCCCAGACCAGCCACGCCAGTGCCGCTGCACAGGGTGCTTTGGTTGATGTGTACTTTCTTAAAAAAAAAAAATGTAATGTGAAGGTTTCAAGTCATAAATAGTACGTCATGTTTTAATACACTCCATACTGTGATGGGCATCCAGCTTTGGAGGGCTGTTTTTCCCATGGAAGATAGTTACAAACATGTCTTCCTGAAATTGCTTCTGAATGGAGTTTTAAACCTCCAGCCCTCCCTAACTTCTTGGTGTGGATAGGTTTATTGAGGATGGCTGGTCAGGTTGCTCAGTGGTAGAGAGTTACTCAAGCATGCATGAGACCCTGGGTTCAGTCATCACCACTGGGAGGAAAAATTTTCTCAGTGTAAATGTTTAAAATATTTGGAATGAGCTGAAGCCATAGAATTCTGTGATCCTAGAATTTTCTTTAAGGATCTGAGGCAAGCTTTTGACCTCCCTCCCTAAAAACAGGCGCAAGTCAATATACTGTTGGAGGGTGCTTGGAGACTGCCTCAAGCCCAACACACAGTGTGGCTAGCGAATGACTGAAAAAGGGCCTCTCTTGGTGCCAGGCCTCACTGTGCCCATGGAGTGACACTGGTCTGAGGAGATCAAGTCTCCTTCTGTCCACGTGGTTCGCAGTAGATCCTCCAAACTAAGCTGTGCGGTTGCCACTGTCTTTTGCTTAGAACAAGTTTGACAGAAAGAACCTAGGGTGGATTTGCTATTTGTATTCTGTGTAAGTTTTTCATGACTTGTTTTTAATTCCTGTTGACAGAGAAAATGACAGGGTGGTCATGGTTAATGGCACCTCCATGGAGGGTGTGCTCCATTCGTTCGCAGTTCAGCAGCTACGGAAAAGCGGGAAGGTTGCTGCCATCGTAAGTATGGGCTTTACATCCAGCTTCGCCTATGTAGCATTTTGTTTTTATGTCTGGAAGAAAATGCCACTTGCTTCTGAGCATTTGATGGAATTATGTAACAATGGGCCCGCTAGCTACAGTGCATGGTTCTTTAGAGCTTTGGGAGGGTGACATTGTGGGCTATTGGAGATGTGGTATCTTCGTGGCCTTTCTTTTCCTTTTCCTTAGGCCTGAGATTCTCTTCTCTGAGTTGTGTTGCAGACATCTGGACAGTTCACTTCTGCTTTCTTCAACATGCACCTTCTAAGAATAAGCCTCTAGCCACTGTATTGCTGTTATCATGTCTAAGAATATTAAGAACTGCAATATCATCTAATACCCAACCCATATCTCAAGATTTCTTTTATCCCCTCAGTACTGAGCTATGTTTCCAGCCTTTTTAATTTTTATTTTGAGAGAAGCTTGCTAAGTTACTCAAGCTGGTCTTGAACTTGCTATCTTCTTGCCTCAGCCTTCCAGAGTGCTGGGATTGCAGTATGTCAAGCTGTCTTTGTTACGCATTTTTTCCTTCTTTCGAGACCCAAGTTTCCACTCATTGCATTTGATTATTCCCTTAGCCCTATTAGCCTGGAACATCCTGCCCCACCTCCCACCCCCCACCTAGGTTGTTTTCAGAGCTTAGCTCTTCTGAATTGAGCTGTTACGAACATATATACATACATACATACATTAGGATGTCTTTAAATCTCAGGAATACATCCAGGAAAGAGATAGCTAGGTTATATGGAATTTTATTTTTAGTGTTTTGAGGAACCTCCATACTCATTTCCAGGGTGGTTGTGTGAGTTCCCACCAACAGTATAGAAGGCTTCTTTTTCTTCTACTTTTTGTGTTTTCAATGATAGCTATTTTGACTGGGATGAGATGGAATCTCAAAATTGTTTTCATTTCAGTTTTTACATACTTTTTAGTCATTTGTACTTCTTTTGAGAAGTATCTGTTAAGTTTATTTGCCTTTTTAAAAAATTAGATCATGTGTCTTGGGAGGATTAATTTTTTAAGTTCATTTTAGAATCTAGATAATAGTCCTTTATCAGAAGAATAGCACAAAAATTTTTTCCTACTTTATGGGTTGATTTTTTTTTTTACTTACTTGATTGATTTCTTCACTGTGCAAAAGATTTTATTTTGATGTGATGGCACTTGTTGATTCTTGATATTGAGATGATACTGCCTTCATGTGATTTCCAATGTTATTTTCCATCAATTTCAAAATTCCTGATTTTATATCTAAGTCTTTGATCTATTTTTATATGATTTTAGTACAGGGTGAGAGAGATAGCTCTCCTTTCAATGTTCTGCTCGTGGATAAGCAGTTTTCCCAGCACCGTTTGTTAAAGAGATGATCTTTCCTCCAGTGTATGATTTAGGCCTCTTTGTAAAAAATCGGACAGCTGGGGGTTGTTTCTGTCTCTTTATGCATCTTGTTGTTTACATGTCTGATTTTGTGCCAGTGGTTTTTTTTGTTGTTGTTAGTATAGCATTGTAAGTGTAACTTGAAATCCAATATTGTGATTCTTTCACTTTGTTCTTTTTACTCTTGATTGCTTTGGCTCTTCTGCTTTCATGTGAAGTTGAGGATTTTTTTTTTTTTTTCTACTTCTGTGGTATTTTAGTAGGTATTTCAGTAAGTATATAGCTCACTTGGGTCATGGGACCATTTGGACAGTATCGTGCTACCCAAGTGCAAGGGCTGACATTCCGTTTTCTAGTGTTCTCTTCGGTTTCTTTCTTTAGAGTTCTGCAGCTTTCACTGTAGAGGTCTTTCACCTCCTTGGTTAGGTTGATTCCTAAATATTTGATTTTTTTGAAGCCATTGTGAATGGAGCTACACCATGGGTTCATTATAGTTGTATAGGATGCTCTTGCTCTTCGCAGGTTGGTTTTGTATCCTGGATACTGCTCTGTTTCATTCGCTCAGAGGTTTATAGTCATTGTCTTTCAGTTTTAAGCTTGGGAGTTTTTTAATGGACCTGTTTCCAGATAAGAAAGTGGAGACCTAGTGAGTCAATGGGAATGTTGTTAGTGGACACAAGATTTTTGTTTTTGTTCTGGGGCCGTGGATGGAGAGGATCAGAGTTTAAATGAAAGTAGAGCCAGTGCCCCTCTTCACTGTTTTTTGTCACTGTCCTGCTTCGTGTGTCTGACGACAGGTGGTCAAGCGGCCGCGGATAGTCCAGGTGGCCCCACTGCAGGGCAGCCCTGCCCTCAGTCACGACGACCGGGCTTTCGATGTGATGGATGAGCTGGACAACAGAAGTTACCGCAGTGGGTACAGCGAGAGGAGCCCACACGGCAGCCGTGAAGAGTTTCACCGCAGCTGGGAGGGCAGCCTGGATAGGGGCCGTGGCCACCACCGATACCAGGACCAGGACCGCAGCCGTGGCCAGAGCCTGGAGCGTGGCCTGGACCGGGATGATCGCCGTGCCCGGGACCGCAGCCGTGGCCGGAGCGTAGACAGGGACTATGACCGGGACTACGAGAGGAGCTACGAGCAGGGCTACGAGCAGGACTACGAGCGCTCCCACCGCCCGGCGTATGGGAAGGACAGCCCGTCTTCGGGGAATCGCCGCCAGGTCCAGCCAGAGTCCCGCTACGAGCGCCCCCGGAGCAGGAGCCAGGAGCACTTCCAGTCGCATAGCCCCAGCCCTGAACCTCGGGGCCAGCCTGCATCCGACGGGCACATCGGGGTCCTCCTGACGAAGAGCAAAGCCAACGAAGGTGGGCAGACATGATGCAGGAAAACACGCGCTCTCCTGATAGTAGTGGCTTGTGTACAGCCCCCTGGGTGCCAGGCCAACTTAAACGCCTGGCACCTGTTGGCTTATTTCCTCCTCACACCCACATCAGGAGGGAACCCCTTCTCTGTCTTTATTTTGTAGACAGGGAAACAGGTACAAAGGGGTCCATTGACTGTGCAAAATCATTTCAGTGGCAGAGCCACTCTTGAACTTCAGCTAAGTAGTGCGTGTGTCACCTGCATGCTGTTAAAATGTAGATTCCCAGGCCCTAGCCCAGATCTGCAGAGTCAGAAGCTGGGCTGGGCCCTGGAGTATGTGTGTTAACGGGCTCTCTGGGTGAGCCTGATTCCTCTCAAATGGAGGAGTCAGGACAGAAGGCTGTACTGCAGCTTGCTGGGGCTGCGCTGAATAGCTGCTCACTCTTCACGAGAGCTTTGGGCCACTGGCCAGGACAGATAGGCGTGGGTATGTCTGTAGAGGAGGCAATCTCTGGCTTGCCCACACAGGATCACATCTGGGATTCACCTACAGGTGGCTTCTGAGATTCAGACTGGGGAGGGGACTTGCCCGTGTTTTGAAGCCAGTCAGTAAATGGTGGAACTACAGCTCAAACTGTCCTCTGGGAAGAGTCGGTGCTGTGGGAAGCAAATAGGGTAGGTAGGTGAACAGGGCTTTTGATCCTCAGATTAAACTCTTCCTGGCATCAGGTCTTCCCACTTTGAGAATGCCTTTTAATGTATCTTTTATCTCCTTTTGTTGTGTGTTCCTCCTTTAAGAGGAAAAGGATAAAGGGCCCCCAAGAATGTTGAAGTGCAAGGATCCTTCTGTTTGCATTTTGGAATTTACATTTTAAATATCCTGTTAGATGAGAGGATTTGTTTTCCTTAGTTTCTCCGGCAGAGTTGAGTTACATTACCAGATACCCATTGAAATAACTGAAGAATAATGCAAAGAGGAGAGTAATGGAGTCCAGGCCAAGAAAATAAAGGTGAAAGTTGAGATTGCATAATCTCAGCTCATCTCATGAATCTCAGGAGACAGAAGGATTTCACAGAACCTGTATAACCATTTGTGAACAGATAGAATGGGAGGGTAAAAGTCATCTTGTATCTTTGAGGATGAGAATTAGGCCAGCAACCTCTGTTTGAGAAGTCTGATTGCACTCTAGAGGACATGTACCATGCAATCTTGAGTTGGTGACAGCACTGCTTTTTACATTACTACTTTTTCCCTTCCTCTTCTTTCCCTTCTTCCTCCTGGCATGGAAAGAATTCCATCTTTTAGCCATGGAAGTACCTATATATGAAAAACTGGGACAAACGTTTCATGGCATGTTACTTACTCTGTGTGGTATCCCCTGAGAAGTTCCCTTACATCAAACTTTTAAAGTATTGGTTGCAACTCACCAAGTTCATTTCAGGACCCACTAAATGACTACAACCCACAGTTTGTAGACATTGTTCTAAGAAACTGCCCAAGTCCTGACTGGTCTTACTTAGTAAATCAAGAAAGGACATTATGCCTCTTTGCTAATGATATTTTTCTCTTTCTTGGCCATTTTGTTCTCCCAATTTAGAAATCATTAAACAACCCCTTAACTCCACATTTAAAACCCAGGACCCCATGCATGTTGGGCAAGTACTGTGCCATTGAGCTGCATCCCTAGTGCTTCACTTGTTAAAAATATTACATAATAAGTTAATATTACATGATAAGTTAGCCATGGCTGGTTGGGTTTGCATAAGAGTGAATCTTTAAAGAAATCTACATTTGGCAAAGATATACATTGTATTAGGAAAAAATTTGCTCTCAGAGGCTGAGGCAGGAGGATTACAAATCTGAGCCTAGCCTGCACAAACTAGCAAAACTATGTCTCAAAAGAAAACTTTTTTTAAGGACAATATGAAGGTCCTTGGTTTAATCCTCAGTACCTCACCCCATACACACACACCGACACAGAGAGAGAGAGAGAAGAAAGAGTATTACGCATTTGTGTAGCCGTTATTGCATTTCATGGGTACCAAGTCATCTTGCTTGTGAATGTCTTAGAAGCTGATTTTTTTCTTCATCTAAGCAATACCTGCTGTAGGCACAGTGGTGCCCTTGTATAATCCTAGCTACTAATGAGGCTGGTAGATTTTAAGTTCGAGGTCATCCTTGGCAACTTCTTGAGACTCTGTCTCAGAATTAAAAATAAAATCTGAGGCTGTAGTTTAGAGGTAAAACGTTTGATTCTCAGTACAATAAGTCTCTGACTTACGAACGTTCAAGTTGCCTTCCTTTCACAGATAGGAAGGCATCTCTCACTGGGATCATTGCTAGATGCAAACCAATTGTGGAAGTCACTCACATGTCTGACTTACCATTTTAAGGTAACTAAAGAAAAATAGTTTATTTACAGTATTTGTGGGGGGGGGGCTTTTTATGCTTTACATTGTATGTCAGAGGTATATAAGATTCACCTTGGTATAGTCATTCTTCTGGAATGGAATTGTTTTCATAAATCAGAGACTTACTGTACTGCAAAAGAGAGACAGAGACATGTATACATACATACCAATAAATCTGCAAACTTCCCATAAGAGAGGTGATGGAATGCTGATTATGAGAAGTTGGTGAGAGTGGGCTTGGCTGGCTAACTAGCAGTAGAGGGTCATCCTTGTGCGAGCAGACATACCCTTACCCCCTGCATTGACCTCAGTCTCCCTAACTGGGTGGGCGAGGCACCTCAGCACTTAATCAGTGTTGTCATATGTAGTGCTAGCAGGTTTCCCATAAGCCATTAAAACTTGGTTGAAAATTTGAAAGTGTACTTTAAAACTTTCCTGGATTATTTGGTTCAGAAAATAATTTTATAAATTCAAATGTGCCTCTTTTCAAATATGCTAAATTGTGATGGCAATTCCTAAAGTGACCAAAATTCTCCCTTATGTGCATTAGTTTTTACAACCATAATTGGTAAAATCAGAATAGTTTGAGTAGTATTTTAAAATACTATGCAGCCCTAGTAAGTATTTTTTTTAAATGTCAAGTCAGGGTCCAAACTTTCTTCACCAGTTCTGGTGTTGTTTCAGTGCTTTAACAATTGCTGTGCTGCCTTCATGGCTTCATGGCTTGTCACGTGCCGGATGTCTTCCAGTAACAAACCCCCAAAGTGTAATTTGTTAGAGATGAAGGTATATCGTGTGCACAGTATTCCTGTGGGCAATGTAATGTCAGCAGTTAAGGTGTACTGAAGATTTTTTTTCCTCCAACATTTTATTTAAAAAGTATTAATTTTCCAGCAGACATAACCTTTACCTGGTTCTGCCAATTATGAACATTTTGCTACATTTGCTTTCTTTCTCCCTCTTTTTATTTTCTCTGTACCCTCTGCTTTTCCAATGTCTACCCTTTTCTGACAATGTTTATATGGGGAAAAACTTAAAAGCAAATTATAGATGGTGTCACCTGTTACCCATAAATACTTCAGAACATTCTCCAGCGTCACCTTAATGACATAATCATGCTTAAGGAAGCAAACGTTAACAGCCTTCAGTTTAGTATGATTCCTTTTGAGTTTGCTGAAATAATGTATCCTATCCTCACCTTCACCTTGGATCAATAATCTGATAATGGTTCATGAATTACATTTGGTTTTTATGTCTCTTTTAATCAAGAATAATGCTTTTGCCCCTCCTCTCCCTTAATTGAAGAATCAAGGCCATTGTCTTACAGAATGTCTCATATATAAAATTAAGTTTTCAGAAATACTGTTAAGTGTTCCTGAAAGCTAGAGTTTCCTGAATCAGCTAATGACATACATGTGTTTTTATGTGCTTGTCTCCTAGAGTATGGTCTCCGGCTAGGCAGTCAGATCTTCATCAAGGAAATGACCAAGACAGGTCTAGCATCTAAAGATGGCAACCTGCATGAAGGGGACCTAGTCCTTAAGGTGGGCAGATGAGGACGGGAAACAGCCATGTGCCTGACAACATATCCCTTGTCTGCATTTCTGCATTCGAGTGCCGATACAGACTGAGTCGCAGCGGAATGATTTTTACCAGGAATCCAGACCCAGGGGCAGAGTGCTTGCCTGAGGCCCTGAGTTAAGTCCCAGACACTACAGATCCCCCAAACCCACGAGTCTTAGAGATTTGTAGTTTATTGGACACCTCAAGGTGTACTTTCCTTCTCCATCTCTGTTTAAAGTTTAGGTTTTGTTCCCTGAATCAGTGATGGTGAACCCTTCAGAGCTTTCGGGGACACAGACAGCTCACTGTGGCACGTGTGCCATAGGTTTGTCACCACTGCCCTAAGCCAAGGAAAGACGACGGGAGAGCTGTTGGTACAGGAATACTGAATACCACTAGTTTTGTAAGCGTCTTCTGGCAGGAAACATGTTACAGCAGTAAACCAAACCACCATCTTGGGCTGGGGTTAAATGAATTAACAGAGTAACTGAAGTGCTTATATTTGGGACCCAAGCATCCACAATTACACTCAGTTTAAAGGCTCACTCATTTTTATTCAGTCATCCTGAGGTCCTCTGGGTGAATATCTGAGCAGAGACTTTACGTATTTTAGAAGGGAAAACAAGAATTTTTCTACTGAACCATAGAGTGTAAAATACACCATTCATGCACACAGATCAATGGGACTGTCACAGAGAACATGTCATTGATTGATGCTGGGAAGCTGATAGAGAAGTCTAGAGGGAAACTCCAGCTGGTCGTGTTCAGAGACAGCAAACAGACGCTCATCAATATCCCCTCACTCAATGACAGCGACTCGGAATTAGAAGGTAAGAAAAGTCTCAGCCAGAGGACAGGAGCATTGTTGGTCCTGCATTCTCATCTCTTTAGCACAACCGTCCAAGCTAGAGGTTGAATTTCCAGGAACAGCCTCCCTTTTCAGCTTTAATTTCCGAAGTTAAATTTTCAGTTGTTACCTGCTTATTAAATTATCTACTGAAATTAGGTTTCTTCTGATGCGAAATTCTGATACTGTATACTTGTGAACTCCTAGGAGATTCATTTAGGCCACTGAAAGCAAAACTTGTTAATAAATAATAATATATGCTGACTGGGCACAGTGTCACACACTTGTAGCCCCAGCTATCCAAGAGGCTGAGGCAGGAGGATCAGTTCAGGTGAGGAGTTGAAGGCCAGCCCGGGTAACATAGTGAGATCTGCATCTCAAAAATAAAACCCAGGTGTTGTACACACGCCTGCAATCCCAATACCAGGGAAGGCTGATGCAGGAGGATTGCAAGTTCAAGGCCTGCCTGGGTGGCTTAGTAAGACTTTGTGTCAAAATATGAAGGGCTGAAGGTGTAGTTCAGTGGTAGGATGGTTCTCCATCATGCATGCACAAGGCCTAGGGTTCAGTATCAGTACTGCCCCCTTTCTTGGCAGTGGTTATTAGTATTTCCAATAGGAAAGACGTTGGAGGCTGACTATAACATATAAATGCTAAAATAGTTAACATTGTGAACATTATGATATTCATTGGTTAGTAATCTTTTCTTTTTTGGAAAGCTATGTTCATTGTTCAGCATGAATTATAAGATTACATCTTAACCTTATAAAAAGTATCAGTAACAATCAGTAGACATGCCGTACTTAATCATCTACTAAGGCTTTTGTATGGGAAACTTGAGAAAGCCTTAAGTTCTTAAGCTTTCAAGTAAGCCTTTGTTGATTATGTTTCCAAGAATTCTTTATGAGACCTTAATTTAGTTTCCAGCGTACTAAATGTCTGATTTGGGCCGGGGATTTTTAGCTCAGTGGTGCAAGCGCCTGCCTGACAAGTGCGAGGTCGTGAGTTCGATCCTCAGTACAAAAAAAAAGTCTGATCAATTGGTCAGTGCTGTGAGTGCAGAGCAGGAAGCACAGGGACAGTGAGAAGGAGCAGCAGTGCGTCGGGACTTGACAGTTTACGTCCTTGCTGCCAAAAGTGGGACCCCAGCCCTCAGCAGCATCCGTGTTGTTGGGAGCTTGAGATGATCACAGGATGTCAGGCCTCAGCCCAGAACAGCTGCAGCCCAGGAAAATCCCTGGGGTTTGAATGCACAGTATAGTTTGAGAAGCACTGGTCTATTTTTGGTGAGGGTGAGTAGATACACAACATGATTTAATGTAGTCATTTCTCCATATTCTTGAGTTGTGCATGCTTGCATTTAGCCAAACACAGACTGAAACTATTTGGAGAGAAAAGTTCCTAGAGTGTTCCAAAAAGCACAACTTGAATTTACTGAATTGCTGTGAGCGATGCATAGGCACATCCTGCCATAGCCTCTGTCATAGACCTGTCTCCCCAGGTCTTGTTGCTTAAGACTTTCTGTTATGCCCTGAACAACATTATAGAACAACTCTTCATGCAGCGTTCAGTTCTTATTAGGTGTTGTAAGTAATCTAGACAGGATTCAGCAGTGTGTGTCCAGAAGGATGTGTACAGGCTATGTACAAGTGCTGTGCCATTTCACAGAAGAGACCAAGTATTTGCCAAGGGTGGTGGGAGAAATGGTCTCAGAACCACTGCAGATACTGAGGAAAAACTAACATGGAGCTTTGACCTTTTAATAGCAGCTTTGATGGAAAGTAGGATGCAAGAAATCCATGCTTCTGAATGTGACTCCCTCTTACTCCTTTCCCTTAAGCTGATGGAGTGTTTTTCCCCCCTGTCAGGTAGACTTACACTAATATAGCACATTTTTGTCTTCTATTTCTCATCTCTGTTACCCAGAAATAGTATAATTTCTGGTACATGTCTTAAATTTTACTAAAAATGTTGCTTAATTTTGAAACCAGATATCTCAGAAATGGAGTCAGTCCGGTCGTTTTCTCCTGAGGAAAGACGCCAGCAGTATTCTGATTACGATTACCATTCCTCCAGTGAGAAACTGAAGGAGAGACGGAGGTAAGGTGCTATGTGTTTTCTGCTGCACACATCACTATGCGTGTGCACACATACATGATTGTGAACTCGTCTCCTGAGACGTTAACATGATATGTGCTTCTAAGCTCAAGAGAGGACGCGCCACCAGGCAGACTGTCCAGGATGGGTGCCACACCCACTCCGTTCAAGGCCTCGGGGGACAGTGCCGCTGTAGCCACAGAGACCAAAAAGGAACCCAGATCCCAGGAGGAACCCCCAGGTGAGGCTGCAGGCCACTCTTTTGGTCATTTCTTCTGCAGATTGAACCCAGGGGCTTGTGTAAGTGAAGCCCACACCCTTTTCTCCCCTTTTTTCACTTTTTACTGCGAGGCCAGTACCTTACATTTCAGCAGTGGAATTCAGAAGTGTGTGCTTGATATTTCCAAAGGGGCTCTGATAGGAGAGAGAGAGAAAGTATAATAAATAATTCTTATGTATGAAAGAGGTGACCCTCCTGTGTGTCTTTCAATGATGAAAAATAGAAATAAAATAGTTCTTTCTCTGTGTCATCAGGTTTTGTCACACTTTGTCATATTTAATAAACTTTGATCCATTTTTCCCCATCTGTGATCCCAACCTCAGCCTAACTCTCCTCCCACCACCTTATAATTATCATTATAGCTTTCCATACATAAACATTTATCCATGGGGATATACAGCGTTATTATATGGTTTTCAGTTATAAAAGTATCTACTTTGCATTTTGAGGATCTATTTTTCTTCTCTGACAAACCATTGGGTCCTACTAATGCCTCCAAATTAAGCTTTATCTTAAGTTTTTTTTTTGTTCTATGATAACAAATATATAGAATTAAGATATAGATGTGATAGTGTTTGTAGATTCTGCTGTCTTTAGAAACAAATTCCCACTGTTCTGATAAGGGTAGTGTTGTGTTGTGTTGTGTTGTGTTGTGTTTTCCACTGCAGTGTTGGGGATCAAAGCCAGGACCTCATGCTTGCTAGGCAGGTCCTCTACCATTGAGCTGTGCCCCCAGCCCATAATAAATGCTTTTAATCCACAGCTCCTCTGCCCAGGACAACCCCAAGAACTTTTCTCCGTCCTAGTCCTGAAGATGAAGCAATATACGGGTATGTATTTCTGTCTGTTTTTCCTGTCTTCTTTCACACAGCTAATCTCTGTAACTAAAATCCCTAATACTGAGGTTTCCCCCTCATGTGACGATTTTTCATATTATTGGCTACCTTTAACCAACTCTTGTTGGTGTGTTAGTAGGAAAGGGAAATGATTTGCAGGAAAAGCAGAATGTGGAAGTGGATGAACTTGGTTAGGATAATGTGTGTTCTTTACCTAGCCGGCTGCTGCTCCAGAATGTTATTCTGAGTATTCGCATTGGTCAGATACATAAGTACAAGTAGGTGAAGTATTGCTGGACTCCAGTGCCTGAATGCTAATTGGAGGGAATGTGATCCAGGCATGGGGGAAGGAGGAGGAGGAGAGCTGTGGAGATCTACACTTGATCGTGAGCCCTCCAGTCCTAGTGTGAGGAGCAGCAGCAGGCTTAGGACTGACTTCCTTGGACCTGGCCTGTGTTTTTATTGACAAGCTATGGATACCAACAGACTTGCCTTTGAAAGAATCCTGAAGTTGGGATCTGCCAATTTAAAGAGTAGGATTAGAGCTAAAATGATGTGGTGTTGCATCTTTTTTTTTTTTTTTTTTTTTTTTTTTTTGTCTTTTTCGTTTTTACCAGTACTAGGGATCGAACTCACGACTGCCTGCTTGCAAGGCAGGCACTTAATGCCAATGAGCTAAATACCCAGCCCCTGTAATGTTGCATCTTAAATAACCTGATGAAAATGTGCTACATTTCTACTTTTTCACCAGTAACGTGAGCCTGCTAATATTCATCTCACTGTCTCAAAAAGATAAAGTTATAGATTAAAAAATGAGCGAGTGCTTTGTGAGGTGTAACTCACTTGATAGACACATGAGGTTAAATCTCACAGCTGCTAGTGTGGGTCTCCTCTTAAAAAATATTTCTCACTGCATGTAATTTCGACCTAGTGAGAAGTTTGGGCAGGAGGATCCCAAGTTTGAGGCAGACCTGGGCAGCCTACTGAGATGCTGCCTCAGAATAAAATGCAGAGGCTTGGAGTATCACTCAGTCGTAGAGTGCTTGCCACAAATACAAGCCCTGGTTCAATCCCTGCTGGCATAGCAAGAAATAAAGAGAGGGGAGAGGAGAAGGGGACATAAAAAGAGTTAAGATGCATTGTGTTCATCTGTTTACTCCCATGATGAAGGTAATCATTACAAACATGTACTCGTAACCATTTGGAAAAAGAAAAAACACAAAAACTTTAAAATGTCTCTCATCTGTCCTCCTTAAAACTGAAACTTTTGCAGCCCTGACACCAAGATGGTGAAGTTCAAGAAGGGAGACAGTGTGGGTCTGCGGTTGGCTGGTGGCAATGACGTTGGATTGTTTGTTGCTGGTATTCAAGAGGGCACTGCAGCGGAGGAGGCAGGCCTGCAGGAGGGAGACCAGATTCTGAAGGTGAGGGAACCCAGCTGTGTCACTAGGTGTTCCATGAACCCAGGGTCTCTTTCAGGGTGCTTCTTCACGAAGAGTACAGACCAGCAGGAGTTTGATGGTGTCTCCCATGAAGGTCTCTGTCTTAGTTATTTTTTACACGTTGCTGAGACAAAATACCTGATGACCAAAGTTGGGAAAGGAAAGTTTAATTTCTTACAATTTTTGGAGGTTTCAATCCATACTCAGTTGGCTCCAAGGCAGGGTGGCATGGCGGGGCCGCAGTTCATGGCGGCTGCAAACAGCAAGGCAGAAACCGGCAAAAGAGAACCAGACACACCTTCTTCCTGCCATTACATCACATCCTGGCTCCACCCCTATGTGAGTGTAGCACTGACACCATCTATCCAAGCTCTAGACAATGAACCAATCACAAATGCATAATGTAAACGCATGAGGCCTGGGGGCCACAGACATAAAACCATGACAGTCTCTATCCCCAGTGGTCCTGTGCTCAGTCATGAGCATCCAAAAGTGATCCCTGTGTCAATGATAATGTTTAAAACCCTGGCTAAGATTTTTATTACAGTCAGTTATTACAGTTGGTACCCGATTCATATACTTTGAAACTCCTTGAAATTTATTGTTAGATGCATTTTGGCACAAAAATATTGTCCTAGTGTTTGTCGTTGTTTAATATTCAACATGCAAGCTGAACTTGTCAGTGTTGACTGCCTAGTGGTTTTTTAAACTTCCCAGCCAGATTAGTTGGTTTGGGACTGGTTGGTTTTGGTACTCATTGCACTTCCTGGAACCAGTTAACAAGTACTAAGGTGCCGCTATAGTTTGATTAACCAAAAAGGAAAGAAGATAGAAAATTGAGACTCATCCTATAAGAAACAAATTCCAAAAAGATTGTGTGAAGTTTTGGGTTTCCATTGTGTGCGGTGTTCCCCCTTCAAGATGGCACTCTTCAAGGCAGGGACCTGTAGCTGAGCAGATGTGGGTGTGACGTCAGACTGTGTGGTTCAAGTGCTACCCTGGAGCCCCCTGGGTTTTGTGCTCCTGGTTAGGTGCCCTCGTTCGCCCTGAGCCTTGTTGTGTGTACACATTTGGTGGGACGAGTAGCTATCTCTCCAGAAGTCTGGGAAGACAGGAGAGGTAGCAATTTTAAGGCCTCAAGCAGAGTTCTGGGCACACAAAAAGGTCACTGTGAAAGGCAGCACTCGGCAGCCAACTGTATTAAACTGTGTAGCAACAGAAATTCTGGCCAATCAAGTAGTGCTACATGTAAAGGTACTCTACGTTTATGTAATTTATTGGTATCAGGAAAATTATTTTAAATTTTTATTTAAAGAGAAAAATAAGCAAAACAAAAAGGGTAGAAATAGTACAGAATTTCAAAAAAAATAAACAGTAAGAAATCACTGGTTGATAAATTACATATTGTCCTCTTAGAAATAGTTGTTCAAGTTACAGAATTAAAGCATACAAAGTGGACATGGTATCAGGAAATTTTAAGGTTGGTACTTTTAACATTTTATGAGCTGCAAAGCACAATTTTTAAATTGACTTCAGGATAAATTTTAAGAACACCAAGTACCTGATTACTGTAAAATATGAATGCTAGGAAACTATTACTGGAATTTTGTTTGCTTCTGGTTTCTTTGTACCCTTGCTAATATTAGTGGAGAAATTGTATATAGAGGTCTTGTAAGCACTTCTAAGCTCAGAAGAGGAAGAGAAAAATTCACAGACTCCCCAAGGAGACAGATTGCAAAGCCTGGCGGCGGATGGATGGCCCCTTCCTGTTTGGCACTTGGCTCCACTCTGGTAGGTCAGATTTCAGTTCTGGAGCGGATGAAGGGCAGACCTTGATCACCAGCTTTGCTAAAGCTTCCCAGTGAAATTCTAGCTCCTCCTTGGCCTTGCTGGGGGATCCTAGAAGACTGTCTCTGAGTGAACCTCAGCATGCTACCGATAAAAATCCCATCCAAAGGCCAGCTCGTACCAGTTTACTGTTAGTAAATATGCCAATACAGAGCGAGCTGTTTCATAGGTAGTGTAAAGCCATAGGGTACCAGCTAGAGATGTAGAGTTTCTGCTCACTTAAGATACCAGGAGAAAATAGATTTGTTATCAAGGGGATGTGAGCTTTTAAAATGATAAAAAGTAGAGAATTCACCGAGGCACCTGACAGACTTCTCTGTAACTTGTTCATAAAGACAGGAAGAGTGGCTTCAGTGGTGAAAGGTCACAGTGGTCCGCATGCCAGTCAGGAAGAAGCTCTGGAGATTGCTTCTTTTGCAGTAATCCTGTGTGGTGGCCAGACAGTAGATAATCCTCATTCACAGCTAGGAATAAGTTTCCTGACACCTACAGAAGGTGTCCTCAGTTCTGCAAGGGACTGGAAGAGACAGAGTAGCCTACCGGGCGGAAGCTGCTGCATACTTAGCAGCTGCAGCTGACATAGAGTCCCCTGCAGGCTCGTGCAGCCACCTGCACCCTGCAGGCTGCTCAACAGCTAACGAAAGAGGATCTTTACTGCAGATAACTGGCAGTGTAACGTGCAAGTGCAAAAACACTGCCCTGGCTTTTTCCACCTGCGTGCGTGTTGGCGCTGCTTCTCGGGGCCAACCTGAAAGTCTGAGGTGAACTCTGCCCATGCTGAGCGCTGTTTCTCAGTGTTGCTCTTCATTTATTGATGGTGATGGCCTCTGCCTGGGATGGGAGCCCAAGTGAGGGAACCGAGACAGAGGGTGTCTCCCAGCAATAAAACACACTTGTGTCCCATGTTCTTGCCCACTTGACCTGAGTGTGGTTTTGCTTATTATTTATCTAGGGGTTGGCATTTCTCTTTCAGAAACTTTTATAGGATGGAAAATAGAAAAGAAATATTTTGGAGTTTGGTCATGTCAGCAGGGTGGATTTTTAAAATGTAGCCACTGTGTATGTTTTTATTTTGACCATTAAAGTGTTTGGCCCAATTGGAAGTCAAGTGTCATATGGCCACAGAAATGGACAGAGGACTCTGAGGTCTTTCACATGGTCTTATTGTCCTTAAATAGACAAACAGAAGCATCTGCAGCACACATAGAAACATCCATGTAGCCATACATAAGTAGGAACATCTGCACACTGCACAGTAAAGGAGCAGACACTGAAGTTCAGTGATCCTTAATTGGGACCAAAAGGTTGAAATGACAGCACTCTGATCCAGAGCAAAACATAACTTGATTGCTTTAGCAAGTTACTTAATATTTCTTTTTTTTTTTTTTTTATTTAAGGAGAAAAAAAAAAAAAACGAAAAGGGTACAAGTTATATAGAATTTCAAAAAAAATAAACAGTAGGAAATCACTAGTTAATAGATTACATATTGTCATCTTAGAGTTGTTCAAGTTACAAAATTAAAGCATATAAAGTAGACTTTCAAACAGTGAGACTGCAAACAGTTCTGTTCAATGATCCAACAAAAATTTAGTAATGCGGTTATCTATCTTACACACTTACACATTATATATATATATATATATATATGTATATATATGTATAATATACATATTATAATATATACATGCAGTTATATTCTTTAGAGAACTTTGTTTTCCTCTGTTTTTTACAATGACAATTACACATTTTGGGTTTTATTACTCCCACAAGTCTTACTACTTTTTTTTTAAGAGAATAAAACCAAATGTGACATAACAAAACAGTCAAATCAAAAGGATGGACATAATACATAATGTAAAAACAGAATACAAGGTGATCAACAATGGTTACCACAATGCCTCTTGCTATCTTAAAAAGAATTGCCTATATCATCAGTTATAATAAAATTGAACAAAACAGTAAAGAACAAAACCAATAAAATCAAAACATTGGAGACATTACAGGATTTCAAAAGAAGATAATAGTCACCCAGAATGGACATCATTGTGAATCTTATTGTCTTCACAGTTGTTGCCTATACTCTCAAACTTGGTACTATCAAGCAAAATAGAATAGAGTAAAATCAGTCAAAAGAAGATGGTGAAAGCAATACAGGGTTTCAAATAAAGTTAATAGAAAATCAAAGTGGGTTACTATAATACATCCTGCTATTTTTTAAATTTATTTATTCCCTTAAAAAGATAAAAATAAATAATAAAAAAAGGAGATTGAGATAAAAGAGGACATAACAACAAAACAGCACAGGTCAGAACATAACCATTTAAGCAGAATAGTGTTTTACCACAAGGTATGCCGACATAAAAGTAGTTACCATAGTGTCTCTTTCCTTGAAATCTTTGAGTATAACTTCGTATACTGTAACATCAAACATATCAAGACAATGTAAAACCATTCAAGAGAATGACAGTATCACAGGGCGTTTAGAACCAACTAACAGAAAATGAACAATGGTTTCTGTATTATCTCCATCTATAAAAGTTTTTGTTTATATTATCACATATAATAAAATCCAATAAAATACAACATGTTAAGACCAACGGAGACAGAAGAACAAAAGCTCGATGGGACTTCAAACAAGATGATATTAAATCAGCACTAGCTATTATGATGTCTTGTTTTCTCCAAAACAGCTGTTCCTACCATCCAACCTTCTCTGCCTCATTTCTGTTGAGCTCTTTTTCTGTCATTAGTTGTCAGTTTGTCTTCTTTATTTTGCTTTCTGCTCCATTCATTGTGGCCTCTTTGCCGCTGTTTCTGGAATCTCGGTATTTTTCTCTTTTAGAATATCCTGCAGTATTCTCTGTAGAGTTGAACTGGTGGTTGCAAATTCCCCTAGTTCCTCTTTATCCTGGAAGCACCTTGTTTCTCCATTAATTTTTAGGGACAGTTGTGCAGGATATATCATCTTGACTGGAGGTTATTGTCTTTCAAAGCTTGAATTATTTCGTCCCACACTCTTCATGATTTGATGGTTTGTGCCGAAAAGTCTGCTGTAATTCTGATGGGTGTTCCCTTGTAAGTGATCTGTTTCTTGTCTCTGATGGCTTTTAATATTCTGTTCTTATATTGGCTTTCTGGAATTTTGATTATTAAATGCCTGGGTGTAATTCTATTTGGGTTGTAGGTGGCTGGGGTCCAGTATGCCTCATAGATCTGAGTATCTTTACCTTTTCCATATTAGGGAAGTTCTTCTTGATTATTTCTGTGAATAGCCTTTGCATTTCATTTGTTTGTATCCCTGCTTCTTCCTTTACATTCTTAATTCTTAAGTTATAGATCCTCTTATCATCTTCTAGCCTTTGTATTGTTATTGCTTGTTTCCTTGTTATTTTTAAGAAGTTTTTCCTTTCATGCTCCCACATTACAAATCTGTCCTCTAGTTTAGATAATCTATCCTTAGTTTCTTTCAAGCTGTTATGCCAGCTTTCAATAGAGTTTGTAGTAATCTCTTTGAACTACTTTATGTATTCTATGTTTTCTCTATGTTCTCCATCAAAAAATTCTCCCCTTTTTTTCTGTTCTTCCATCCCACCATCTGTTTTTTTCTTGGGAGGTGCTTAGCATAACTATTCTACTTATATCTTGCTTTCCTTGGTTAAATTCTTCTCTTTTGAACTTGTCTATGAGGTCCCAGAGATACCGCTTTATGTCTATTGGTGTTGTGCCTGATGTTGCATGTTTTCTGTCCTCATTCTCCTTTGCATTTACCTTTCCTGTATCAGTGTTCTCAGGATTGGGGACTGAGGACCCTTTCTTGTTGCTCCCTCTTCCCATACTTTTTGTTTTTTCCATACAAACGTATATAGGAGGCCCAGTTTCTTTCTTTGTCGGTTACAGTTTGTTTGAATCACGCCGGCTAGGTGTTCCTACCCACAGCAGTGTACTAGGGAGACACAGACCTAGGCAACCTATGCTCAGCCTGCCCCTCCAGGTCAGTCAACCTGCTGAAGGCTTCACTGCATTAGGGTGCACTGCGAGGCGCAGGGACCTGGTTTGGGCTAGCCTACTGGGTCTTAGTCCACAGCATTACCCAGGTCAAGCGCTCCCCACCAATCCCTCTTGAGAGGGGAATATGTGACTGAAGTCCCTGCAGCATCCTGTTCCCGCTAGTCTGGTCCCAGAATGTCCTCTGTTGGAGCCTCCTAGTCTATGGAAGGGTCCCCATTCCTCTCACTCACTGTAGGTCAATGCATGGCTCCCCGCCAGCTCTGCCCTCAGTTCAGTTTGCTGATTCCTGCCCTCAGAGCTTTCTCATCTCTATCCCTGCTGTGCCGATTCAGATGCAGCAGTGGTGGCAGGAAATTCAAGCCGCAGTTTCCAGAGGCATAGGTTCCAGCTTTGGCACTGAGACTTTAGCTGTTCCAGTTGTAGCACTGTGATTGCATTTCCAATTAGTTTCTGTCAGCTTAGTTCGTTCCTGGGTCGCCAGGGTATATCTCCCCCTTGCTTAGGACTCCTCACACCGCACCATTCCTGAAATCTACACTGGCTATCTCGGAGAGCCTCCGTAGCTGCTGTTATCTATCCTCCATGTTCTCCCGGAAGTCTACTTAATATTTAAAAAGCACTAGGTTTAATCTGTTGTCTCCTTTAACTTAATCACAAATTTTGGCCTTAATTAACAGCCAGTTAACAATAAGGTTTTTTTTTTTTAAGTAGTAAGCCATTATTTCTATATGTAACTTAATTTTTATTGGTATACTTTCACTGTAGGGAAGTGGTATATGTGTGTAACTCATCTGACTTCTTTTCCTCTTTCCCTCTAGTCTCATTTTTCTTTTTTCTTTTCTCTTTGAAAAATGTTTTGCCAGCTTCAGGCTTATTTTATTTTTAAAGTCTTTATCCAGTTAATTATAAACACAGAGTAAGAGCCAGACTTAGAAGCCATAAAATACATAAAAACAATTATACTGAATCAAGGTACACCATACTAGCCATACTAGATTACAAAAATTTTCCTTTTTTTCCCCTTATGATCTGTTTTTTCTTTTCGTTTTGAGGCAGGGTCTCACTGTGTATTTCAGGCTGGCTTGAACTCACTATGTAGCTTAGGTTGGCCTTGAACTCATGGTAATCGTCCTGCATCAGCCTACTCAGTGCTAGGATTCAGCATGCACAACCACATCCAGCCATTTGTCTTTCCTTTTGTGCTTAACTTATATCTTGGGTTTCTCTAGAGAAACTAGAAGGAAGATATTTAAGTTTACGTGTCTGATTTTAACATTATGGTCTCAAGGTGCCTCATTTTCCTACAAATGACTCAGATTGTCTTTATGGCAGTGCAGAACTCCACTGTGTGTAAATATCCATCCATCTTTTGAATGACATACAGGCTGCTTCCAAGATCTGGCTACTGTGAATTGTGTTGCTGTAAACACAAGTATGCATACATTACTATAATGTGTCTAACTTTTGGGCAAGTGTGCCTGAAGTTTTTCTGCACCCTGTGTTCTGTTCCATTGATCACAACTCTTTTTTTTTGCCAATACCGTGTTTATAACTATCTAGCTTTGTATGGTATAATTTGAAGCCTAGGTTCGTGATATTTCCTGCCTTTGCCTTGTTGCGCAGAATTGTTTTTTGCTATTCTAGGTCTCTTCCTGGTTGCATATGAATTTTTGGAATGTCTTCTCTAGGCCTGCGAGAAATACTGTCGTCATTTTGATTAGGGTTGTGTTAATTCTGTGTATCAATGTTGGAAGTGTGGCCATTTTGTCTATCCTGGTTCTGCCTATCCTGGAACAGGGGCTACCTTTCCATTTTCTTTCTTTTTTCTTGTTTTTGTTTTGTTTTGCTTTTTGAGGCAGAGTCTCATTGTGTAGTCCAGGCTGGCCACAAACTCATGGCAGTCAGAATGCTGGGATGGCAGGTGGGCAGCACTGTACCATGTCCAGCTTCCATTTTCTGGTGTCCTCTTCCATCTCCTTTTTCAGACCACTATAATTGTCAGTGTAAAAGTCTTGCACTTCCTTGGTTAGGTTAATTCCTACGTGTTTAATTTTTCTTAATGCTATCATGAAACGCATTGTTTCCCTAGTTTTTCTCTTGTCATTGGTGTACAGGAATGATGTAATTTTTGTTTGTTGGATTTGTATCCAGCTATGCTACTGAATTTGGCTTTAATTCTAGTAGTCTTATGATGGAATATTTTTGGATCCTCTATGGAGAGGATCATGTCACCTGTGATGACAGTCTAACTTATTTTCCTATACATACTTTTTGTTTTCCGTGATTGCTCTTGCCAATGTTTTGCAAACTCCATTGAACAGGAGTGACAATGGGAGTCATCCTTGTCTTGTTCCTGATTTTAGAGGAGGAAAAGCTTTTAACTTTGCTATATTTACTATGATGGCAATAGATTTGTCACAAATCAGACTGATAAAATGGCTTGTATGAGATTGAAATAAAGACCTATATGGTCTCTTCAGGAATTTTTATTATGAAAGAACATTGGGTTTCATCAAAGGTTTTTTCTGTATCGAGACAATCATGTGATTTTTGTATTTGCCTTGTTTATGTATTGTATTACATTTATTGATTTACATATGTTGAATCCTCTCTGCATTCCTGAAATGAATCCTACTTGGTCATGATGTAGAATCTTTAGCATGATTTGTTGTGTTCTGTTTGCCAGTACCTTGAGGGTTTTGCATCTCTGTTCATAAACTATATTAGCCTATAGTTCTATTTTTTGGCTGGGTCCTTTTAGAATCAGAGTAATGCTTACTTCCAGGAATGACTTTGGGAGTGCTGCTTCTGTTTTGATTTCATTAACGACTTTGAGGAATATAGGCATTAGATCTTCTCTAAAGTTCTTGTGGAATTTGGCAGTGAGTTTTTCAGTACCTGGGCTTTTCTTAATTGATTTTTTTATTACTTTTTCAATTTCATTAAATGATACTGGATTATTCAGGATAAAGCATTATTTTTAATGAATGAAAGCATTCTGCATTTTTCAGTGACTGAGAAACTTGTAGGAAATCTGTATCTTGTTTTCATTTATATGTTATTACAGTGTCAAGAAATTTAAAATAAATTTTACAATTCAGTTATTTATAGTTATTATTTTAGGGTAGTTTTCTAAATTCCGTATCCAAAAGCTATTTATAGTGTTTCCTGAGCAGTCATTGCATTGTGAATGTTATGCATTCCCTGCCAGAAATAGATGCAGGTGACAGGTACCTATGTATATACATGTGGCTGGGTATTAGCCCAGTGGTCTGCCATAAAAGACCAATGCTCTTCAGTTTCATAAACTCATGTTAAATATCCTGTGATTACAGTATAGGAGAAAGATGGAATTGATCGGAATGCTTGGTAGTAAATTTTATTTGGACCAGTTTTTTAAAAATAAAAGTTCTGGGCCAGCATTCACAGACCTCCCCCTCCTGGCTACATTAGTTACCTGTTCATACTGGGATATTACTTCCTCTGCTACATCAGTGAGGGACGCAAAGGACGGAGAGAGACAGACACAACCACAAGACCTTCCAGTTAGGTCCAGTGACACATGCGTGAGTCAGTGTTCTCCCTGACTGGTTCAGTCCTGTGGCGGGTGAGATGACAGAGTCATGCCCACAGGTGCTGGGAAGACAGAATGAAAACAGAGAACTTTTTCACAGCCTGGTTTTGCTGTGAGCAGAGTCCTGATGACAAAAATGTTCAGATAACACCATACTGTAAATTCCTCTTACTTCTCCCCCTGATTTTTTCTTTCTTATCAGGTGAATACACAGGACTTCAGAGGACTGGTTCGGGAGGATGCTGTTCTCTACCTGTTGGAAATCCCCAAAGGGGATATGGTGACCATTTTAGTTCAGAGCCGAGCTGATGGTGAGCACACTTGGTCTCTTAGTTTACTTCTGGTGAGTGGGAAGTGTGAAAGAGGCGTCTGGGGCCAGAATAGGCAAATTCCCCTTTAAATAACTAAAGTGGGTCCTGACATTTAATCCTTACGTCATGGGTGTATGGAGAAAATCTGGGTGCCACTTACCCTTCTCCAAAAACACTGTCTCTGTACCTACTAAAATAACTTCTTTCATTGTGTCAATTTGGAATGAAATGATTTCCCACCATCTTTAAGTTCATCTTGGAGTTACTGAGTGTCCATAGGACAGATGCTAAGAGCTCAGTTGGCCCCTATTTACTACTTACCAGTCTGGCAAGTAGGTCTGCCCTTCAACTCCTGGAGCTTATCTGTGAAGCGGGGGGCCAGAATTGTCTCTTCCCTGTCTGCTTCAGAGGGCTGATTGGCAACTACAAATTATCAGTGTTCTCCAGAGGCAAAGAACCAGTAGGAGATAATTGGAACCAATGGAGATAGAAATCTATTTGAAGTACTGGTGCAGATAATTATGGAGGCTGATGGGTCCTAAGATCTGAAGAATGGTGGATGTATTAGTCAGATGTCTTACTGCTGGAACCAAGGACCTGACACCCACAATTTAAAGGAGTTTATTTGGCTCGCAGTTTCACTGGATTCAGTCCATGGTCAGTTGCCTTCCATGGCAGAAACATTGAAATGGAAGAGCATGGCAGAGCAAGGCTGCTTGGTTCAAGGCAGGCAGAAAGCAGAGCAGGGTGATGGTGCTAGAGCGGAGAGGGTAAGGGCTAGTCATAGCGCCCAAGGCCACACCTCCACGATCCCTCCAGCCATGCCCAGAAGTGTGCTGTATCAGTCACCTTGGAGATTCCCAAGCCAAGCAAGTTGACAGCTTGCTTTAACCATCATGGCAGGCAAGTGGTACACGTGGCAAAGCTCAGATTTACTTCTATTCTAAATATAAGGCCTGAGAATTAAGAGAGGTATTGGGATATTTCTAGTACAAAGGCAGGAGGAAAAGATGTATCCTGAGTGGAAATCCGTCAGGCAGGAAAAGTTGTATTCTGTTACTTGAGACCAAGTCTGGGTGAGCCTGCTTTTGTTCTGTTTGGACGAGGGTTACCCCTATTAGGGAGGAAAATTTGCTTTACTCAGTCTGCTCATTTAAATATTTCCCTCATCCCAACTGCCTGGCCCACAGATATCCAGAATGATTGTTGGCCCAAATGTCCAGACACCCTATATCCAGTCAAGTTGACACATAGAATTAATCATTACTCACGAAGCTGGTCATTCTCCTGTTGGTGCCATGATTTCTGTGAAGCCTGTGCACTGTGGTCACTGAATGGAGGGAAGGTGAAGGGGCCATTAGAGAAGTGAGAAGCTGGTCTCTCATGGAGCTCAATGCAGCACACAATGCTTTTGTCTTTCAGTGTACAGAGACATCCTGGCTTGTGGCAGAGGGGACTCGTTTTTTATAAGAGCCCACTTTGAGTGTGAGAAGGAATCTCCGCAGAGCCTGGCCTTTTCCCGTGGGGAGGTCTTCCGTGTAGTGGACACACTGTATGATGGCAAGCTGGGCCACTGGCTGGCTGTGAGGATCGGAAATGAACTGGAGAAAGGCTTAATCCCCAACAGAAGCAGGTATGTGAGGTTGCCTGTTCCCACACACACACCCCTTTGGTCCTTTATGCTAGGAAAAACAGCAGACCCACCCTAAAAGGAAATCTGTGTGCTTTCATTGTTGGTTATCTCCTTTTTGTTTATGGAGAGTGGCCTGGAACTGTGGTGTCCATTTGCTATGAGTACTTAGCATCACATGGTTGCTTGTTGCCTGTGGCTGTGTTTGACAGTTTCCTAATAAGCGTCCCTGTCCAGGCCTTGCACAGGACACAAAAATAGGTTCTGAGTGGCTGTATGCACCAGCATACCTCTGATTCCCATCTTTGGGAGTGGCTTGTATGCCCCAGTGAAGATCTGTTGATGCTGTAGTAACCTAGGAAAGACACGTATTTTATCAAGGGTTGCAGGTGTGTTTACTGTAGCCTAAAGCAAATGAGCCAGACTTAATGTGTTTATCATGGAGTTATTTCTGGTTGGCTTCCCAGGGACCCTGTCTTTCTCTGCCTCTATTGGGCAGCAAAGATGCCCACCTTCTGCCCTTGGAAATATCTTCATTGTCAAGCCAAGTCTTGTAATCCAGCTTCTTAAGTAAAACTGATTAGGTCTGTTTAATGGAAGGCCCATGAGCCGTATTTCCTGGCTTTAGAGATTTGCTTCCGATGATTTCTCCCCTCAGAGCTGAACAGATGGCCAGTGTCCAGAATGGCCAGAGGGACAATGCTGGGGACAGGGCCGATTTTTGGAGAATGCGTGGTCAGAGATCTGGGGCAAAGAAGAACCTGAGGAAGAGCCGAGAAGACCTGACAGCCGCTGTGTCAGTGAGCACCAAATTCCCAGCGTATGAAAGGGTTCTGCTGCGAGAAGGTGAGGAAGTCACCGTTTTCAAACCAGAACAGTCAGGTGGCAGCTTACTGTGTCACTTACACCCGAGGCAGGGGAAGAGTTGGAATCTTAACTCTATTAAGGAAGTAAAGGTCCAGACTTCTTAAGGGAGGTAAATTTCCGTAACCAATAAAAGATTTCAGTACCACAGTTGAGAAGTTTTTGCATGCTACCCACTGCAGCATTATCTTTAAAAATGGCAGAGTGGGTGATGAGGGCATAGTCTCCAGGAAGGAACTGGGTTCCATCAATTTCTTTGATTGCTTGAGTGATTTCTTTGATTTATTTTCAGAAGCCTGCATAATACTTTTGTGTCTTATCTGAATGTCTGGTTTCTTTTCTCATTTCAGCTGGTTTTAAGAGACCTGTGGTGTTATTTGGCCCCATAGCAGATGTAGCGATGGAAAAGTTGACAAATGAGTTACCTGACTTGTTTCAAACAGCCAGTAAGTCTGTCAGGGATATTTTCTCTGTACATTTTTAAAAAATTATCACATGCCCTTCACCTGGAGTCACTAGTTGTTAACATTTTGTTACAGACTTTTTTCCTCCACCACTTGCCCGTGCATAGGCACACATGTGTGCACATGCCTATCTTCACAAGTCACTACAGAACCATTTGAAAGTTTCAGTTGCAGACATTTTATTCCAGAGCTATATGTGTGAGTCTCCTGAGAATAAGACTGTTCTTTGCTGCATTCATAATACTGTTATCAGTTCAGTGATTGAGAAATTTAACATTGATATAATGTTACAGATTGAGATCCCTAATCTGAAAATCACAAATCCAAAACGATCCAATATCTGAAGATTTTGAGTGCTAACATGATATAGCACATGTGAAAAATTCCACACTGACCCTATGACAGATAGCTATCAAAATACAAGCCCCCAGAAAATAGCATGTGACATTCCCTTCAATCTCTGTGTATGAGATATGTGTGAAACAAATAGTTTTGGGCTCTAGGATTTAGCCCAGTGGTTCAAGCACTTGCTTGGTAAGCGAGAAGTGGTGAGTTCGATTCCTGGTACCAAAAGAAAAGAAAATATGTATTTGTTTAAAACAAATAGTTTTTATGTTCGGTCTTGGTTCTACTTCCTAGATATCATCTTTTTTATGTTTGCAAATACTCTAAAATCCAAATCACTTCTGTTCCTAGGCAGTTCTGATGAGGGAAACTCATCACAGTTTAGGAATACATGGTCGCTTTTTCTAGTTTCTTTGATTGTCCCAATTACTTCATACTTTTTACTTCTTTTTTTTAAGTTCAGGATGGGACCAAGAATCATGCATTAAATTTGATATTATGTCTTTTTATGATTTTTCTTACGTATTTTTATTCACTTTTTTCTCAATTACCTGGGACATTGGTGTTTTGAGGATCGCAAGCCATGGAGCATTCCCTATTGGACTGCTTGTTCCTCCACGTTAGAGTTCAGATGAGCGGGGCTGGGAGTAGAGTTCGGCGGTGGGGCACTTGGTGAGCACGCATGAGGCGCTGTGTCCGACCCTCATCACAGCAGCCAGTTGTAGTTAAACAAGGGATGTGGCCTTGCAGTTGTATCTCATGATGTCAGGCGTCCCATCACCAGTGCAAGCTGGAGCATTTGGTTGTCATTGATCACTAAAAGAATTCTTTATTTTTGCTATTACAGAAACAGAACCAAAAGATGCAGGGTCTGAGAAATCTACTGGAGTAGTTCGGTTAAATACTGTGAGACAAATTATTGAGCAGGTGAGAAAATCTGTCAGTAAGCCGTGCTGTCAGAAAGAATGGAATTAGTTGTCTACTGTCTATTTTTAGTATTGAGTCTGTACTGAAACTGTCCTTTAATGTTCCTGATAAAAGTTAATGTAAATGTGAACTATTTTGCTATGTGGGAATGTTTTGATTATTTTTAAGTCTCAGCATTATTCTAAATGTTTGTTTGTATTGGGATTGAACCCAGAGCCTTCACAATGAACTACATCCTTAGCTCTTCCCTTTCCTCTTCCCCTCCTCCTCCTTCCTGCTCCTCTTTCTTCTTTTTTTGAAACAAGATCTTTGTTGGGTCACTAAGTTGTACAGACTGGGCTCAAAGTTGGCGATCCTCAGACTTCAGCCTCCCCGAGTACTGGGTTACAGGCATGCACCATCACCCCCAGCCCAAATACTAAATAATAACCTTTTAACATTAGGCCCAGTCTGAGAGGAGTTCCAGGCCCGCTGGTGGGTGTCTGAGACTAGGCGTAGTACTCAGCCCATAGAGTCATCGTCTTTCCTGTGCTTACACATGTATGATACAGTGTAGTTTATAAATGAGGTACATAGAGGTGTTAGACACATTGAGTAATAACTGATAATAACATAGAACAGTAAAACAATATACTGTAATAAAATTGTGTGTAAATTGTGGTCTATCAAAATAGCATACCGTGCTCTACTCGCCTTTCTTTTAGCTGTTGACCTCAGGTAATTGAAATTGGGGAAAGTGAAATTAGAAGTGCTAACTAGTTTATTGTCGTGAAATGGACCTAATGTGGAAAGAAAGTGGCTCTGTGTTTTTTAATTGAAATGCACATTTTTCTGGTTCAGCGCTTTGTTACTAAAATATAAAATAAACTCTGTGCAATGCTGTGTCCCTTCTCCCCGCCACTGACAGGACAAGCATGCACTGCTAGACGTGACTCCAAAAGCCGTAGACCTGTTGAATTATACCCAGTGGTTTCCAATTGTGATATTTTTCAACCCAGACTCCAGACAAGGTGTTAAAATCATGAGGCAGAGGCTGAATCCATCATCCAATAAAAGTTCTCGAAAGTTGTATGACCAAGCCAACAAACTCAAGAAAACCTGTGCACATCTTTTTACAGGTATGTGAATGTTTAAAGGTAGCCTACATTCAAAAGTGACAAATAGAGAAGTGAAAAATGCAAGGGAAAAAATAATAAGTGCTTAATGTTGTGAAATGGCGTATGGGCTCCATGGCATTTTCACAGTGAAGTTTGTAAGTCTGACCGAAAATGGCACTGGTCATTTTGGTGAGGTTCAGACTGGTTTGTGGGTCTGCCAGGCTGGGGCTGAACCTGCTTCACAGCCTGTGACCCCCACTTCTACACGGATCATGCGTCCTTGTTTCCCTCTTTCCTTCAATGTGTGCAACTCAGGTGTTAGAAACTTGTTTTGTTGATTAGTTTTAAATGGCCAAATACAAACTTGAAGATTCTAGATATTGAATGGCACAAGGATTTGTTACATCTAAATTTTAGGTCTGATAATATGGTGATTTAAAAAAAAAAAAAAACTTTTTAGAAATTCACTCTAAATAAAATACTTATAGATGACCTAATAGGATATCTGGAATTTGCCTAAGCAATCGGCAATGAAAGTAGAAGATGGATCTAGATAAGACTGGCCGGGAATCATTGCTGAAGCAAGTTGTTGTATGCTTGGAGTTCATTAAATTATGTTAAAAATTTTCTATAATATATTTTTTAAAAAGATTGCTAAGAAGCAATTGCAGCTGTTACTTGTGACAGTGAAGTAATCTAAAAATGATGTTTTAGTGAATATGTGGACTATAAAAATGACTAGTTCTGTGAACATAGTATAATGAGTTTAAAAGGACACTTGTATTTTGGTCACACAGTACTTTGTGAGTGCAACAGGAGGACACTGCATGGATGTATCTTCAGGATAATGATAGCTCCTTTGAGTTCTATGCCACCAGCATTGGCCTTTGTCACTTTTGGCCTGATACTGGGGAGGAAGATGCCGGTGTGTGCATGTGTGTTTATCTACATTAAACTCTTGTTTTACTGACACTCAGATTTTCTCATTAGAGATGCATTAGTATTCCTATGGCAAAATGTCATAACTGAGAGAGAGCTTAATAAATGCCAGGAGGAAGCCATCTATCGTGAACTAGATTTCTGTGAAGTAGTCAAAAGAGTTTGTGCTTTCCTTATATTCATGTGTATCTTTTCTGTCACTTATACTACCTGCTACAGTTTAATCCACAATGTCCCCAAAAGTTTCATTGTGTTCAGAGGTAGAGATTTAGAGGGTAATTGGATCACGGGAACAGTATACAGGGTTCCTCAGTTTGTGAGCGTAATTCTTTCCATGATTCTGGTTACACCCGAATTGTACATGTGCCACAGTATTCATCAGTGGGCTAATCCATTGGTAAGTTCCTATTTGAATGTGCTGTCAGGGATGAGGCCTGGTTACAAGAGGTGGGTCACTGGAATGGTGACCTGTGTGTCTTGTCCTTGGCTTCGCCCTCACCTACTCTGCTTTCTGGTTGCTATGGGATGAGCAGCTTTCCTCCACCATGTTTTTTCTGCATCGGAGCCAACCATAGACTGAGCTCTGCAACTGTGAGCCAAAATCAATTTTTGGATGTTAGGTATTTTGTCCAATAACAGAAAAGTGAGTAATATACTACTAATAGTATAAATAATCATTGCTGTTAACAGTAGTAATGGGGAACAGTGGTGTAGTTGTCCCTGTGTGCAGTCTTATTGGGCCAGGAGAAGGGCCCAGCTTCTCCGTAGTCATAGTTCAGTCTATGGATTGAACCTAGAGTGAAATGGTCACATCTCTGATAATTTACACTAAGGACATAACAGTATTATTCTGATGCTGAAAGGGGTCATAAACAGGTTGGTCATTCGTTGTGCAAAATGCTTAGGACCAGAAATGTTTCAAGTTTTGGATTTTGGAGTATTTGCATGGATTATCTCAGGACTGTGACCCCCAACTTACACACAAAACTCACTAATATATACAATTTAATGCATTGCCTATAGGGGATTTTAAAATATGTTGAATAGTTTTGTACATGAAACAAGATTTCATGGTATAAAATTTTTCACTTGTGGCATAACGATGAGTCTCAGTTTTGGTTCATAGAGCATTCAGATTTTGTGTTTTTGGATCACTTAGTAATACAGTTCCTGCTTTTAATAAACAAGAAAACCAAAGCCTGTGTGCTTGTGAATGATATTAATAGCTCCCACTTAAATTGCACTTTAATTTCCTTGCCTTTAATTCCACTTCCTATCTTACAGTATCACACAGTGAAAAGATTTCTGTGTCATTATTTAGTCTTTGAAAAGCTGGGTGGTGGGGAAGGAATCTTGTATCAGCTGAAAAACTCAGCTGTGTCAGGAAGCACTTGATTTCCTGAGGGACCATGGAGGGTCTGTGGGCCACAGGGAGTAGATAAAAGGGCGTTGGGCCCCCAGCTGGGTCCGGTGCTATGGTTCATCCATTTATGTCACACTTGAATGTTGGCCCAGCCACAGGAAGAGCTTTGTAAGGTGTAATTCGCATACCATGCCATTTGCCCGTTCGAAGCATAAGCTTTGGTGGGTTTGGTATATTTAGAGTTGTGTAGGCGTCACCACAATCACTTTGAGAGTGTTTCTTTGCTCCCCGAAGAAGCCTCACACCTGTTAGCAATAACTTGTCATTACTCCTCACTCCTGCACTGGCCCTCGCTGCTGCCTTTGGTGCTTCCCCCTTCGGTGGCTGGGATGGGGAAGCTCTCACTACACACTTGCCCAGCTGGACATGGATGTGCTCCAAACCCCAGTGCTCCAGCCAGGGTGGCGACCGAGTGAGGGTTCTTTCAGAATGTCTCTCTCAGGTTTGAAAGCCATGTCCAGCCTATCAAAGGGGCACAGGTCTAACCTCAAGGTTAGTAGTAGCATGAACTTACTAATACATATTGCAGAACATCACGGAAGCTGCAAATCCAAGTGGGAAAGCGAACAGTAAGCCAGAGGTCCTTGATTCAGGGTCATGATGGCAGCACCGTGGTGGTGCACCCCTTGTTCAGAGAGGCCAAGTGCATGATGTGGCTGCTCCCAGCCGTTGTGAGGACCCTAACGAAGCAGCTACTATGATTCTGTTTTATTCCAGTTTAGACTGTGAACGCAGTAAGAGGTTTTGTGACTTTATCAGTAGCATGAACGTATTTTCTGTATTGCTTTTTTTTCAAAGAAAATTATTTTTATTACTATTTTAGGCATACGTAATGATCACATTCATCATAGGGAATTTGTATCTGTGTATGATATAACTTGATTCTTTTTCTCTCCATCCCCCTACCATTCTCTTCAACCTCTGTTCCCTTTCTTATTTACAAAAACTTTATTTCAATTTTTTCCTTGTCTCTTCTGTTTACTTTTCCCTTCTTTTCTACCTTTCCTTGTTCCCTTTGCCATTGGAACATTTTCTTCCATTTCACAATACCTATTATACATTTTGGTTATTTACACTGTCAGTTTCTCACTCCAGAGAAACAGTGCAATATTTATGTGTGTGTGTGATTAATTTCACTTACGAGTATGGTCTCAAGGTGCATCCCTTTACTAGAAACATCTCAAGTTTACCCTTCTCCGGGGCAGAGTAGTACTGCATTACATACAAAAGCCACATCTTCTTTATGCATTCACCAGCTGATGGTAACTTGGACTGTTTCCAAGATTTAGCTGTTACAAACTGTGCCACTGTATATGGGTGTGCATATATCGCTGTGGTATGATGCCTTTAATTCTTTCAGGAAGATACTAAGAAGGGGAATAGCTGAACCAATTGGGACCTAAGACTTGGGTTTTTGAAGAATATTCGCACTGATTTCTTAAATGGCCCTTGTAACTTTTGAATTTTCTTTATGATGAATACAGGCTGTACCTACACTAGACAGCTCCAACAGAAAGCTTTAACAGGTCATTTAGCATTGTTCATACATTTTGAACAAATCACCCATTTGATCTCTGGGGTATACAATCCCACTTTCACATTTAAGTACATGGCATCATATTCTAGCTATGAGCACAATAATCTTTGCAAAGTACCAGTGTAAGGGCACAAAAACCCATGGCATCAAGGCTAATTTTTCTTGGGTTGTCCAATGTATCACTGTTCTCATGCTGTAAATAATTAATAACCCAGGAAATTGTAAACTCATTCAAGATTTTCCAAGGTCAGTGTTCGAGCTTCTTAAATGAAAGAAAGCTGTATGTTACTTCAAAGAAAATCTAAAGCGTAATTGCTTGCAAATTTGACTAATGATTCCTTGGGGGCTTGAGAACTGATACACCATCCAATAAAAAGCCATGATACAATTTTTAAAAATCTTATTTACCTTCATTCTGATAATTTTAGATTCAACTTCATTATTATCTTGGGTCAGTTCGTTTATCTGGTTTATTTCCATTGGGTTCATAATATATATTGCCAAAGAACAGCTATTTATGTTGTACTTTTTTGTGTTTTATATCTGTGTTCCAGATTTGTGTCTTGGGATAAGCTGTGTAGTATAATGACTAAGGAAATAGGCTCTGAATACAAACTTCTGAGTTTGTGTTTAGGTTCCTTTCTTTGCATGGCGTGAACTATGAGCTAATTAGTTTCACAACCGTGCTTTGGTTTCTCCCCTACATGACAATGATAGCAATTTTTACCTTACAGAGACCGTGTAAGCTTGAAATGTACCGATCCATGTCAAGTGCCTGAAATAATTATAAGTAAGGGCTGGTATATAAGATACATTTTGAAAAAAAAATTACTTGAATACACACCAGTTGAATTAGGTTAATCTTAATATTCCAAAATGTTTAAGACTATCAAGATTTCAAATACTGGGGCTGGGGATTTAGCTCAGCGGCATAAGCACCTGCCTTGCAAGCAGGCGGTCGTGAGTTCGATCCCTGGTGCCGATAAAAAGGAAAAAAGACCAAAAAAAAAAAAAAAAAGATTTCAAATACTGAAGTGTTTAGAAGTATGAAATAGATGATGACATATTTAGTTTTATTAGAGATAATAGTGTTTTGTCTTATCTACATACCTACATAGTCATCTTTAAAATACGGTAATTTTATTTTAAATCCATTACGGGTGTTCCTGAAAACATGCTCTGTTAAAAATATACTTTCTGAAGGTAGCTTTTCTAAAAAATTGATATTCTGAGAAGAAAAGACATTTTTAGCTTTGTCATGTCTGTCTATAATGTAAACTGCAGCAATTAGGTGGTTAGTGGCATTCAACCAAAAGGATTTGGTACTCACTGAAGTAGGACAAAAAATACAGTGAACCTTTGACTTAGGAACTCAGTTCATTCCCAAGGGCTGGTTATAACTAAAGATGTCAGTGGAGGCTCCGGGCTGGTCATAACTCAAGACTTTGGTCATCAGTTAAAACTAAAATACCAGTCATAACTCCAGGATCCACTGTATGTTTTGTAAAGTAGCTTCCTGAGTAAGCATTGCTCTAGAAATTGATGCAAAGCTTTTTGTTTACATTTCTCTAGCTACAATCAACCTCAATTCAGCCAATGACAGCTGGTTTGGCAGCTTGAAAGACACCATTCAGAATCAGCAAGGACAAGCAGTGTGGGTCTCTGAAGGAAAGGTATGTGGCCTTGATTTGCTGCTGTGAGGTGAGAGTCCTTGTGCTGCATCTTTCCTCAAGAGGGCGGTGAATGTAGGAAGTGATGCTAACACATGTATTCATCAGGTCTGCAATGCTACGAATTTTCCTACAGAGTGAGAAAATGAAGACACTTTTAAAAGAAAAGCAGGATGTGATGAATGCAACCCTACATTCACTTCCCTTTTACTTTAACGTAGTAACTAGTGTTGTATTCCAAGTACACTAATCAGAGCTTACAAGATCTTGTGCTGAGCTCCACAGCTTACTAAGATCATGGGAAACTTTAGAGTGCAGATGAGAGGCAAGGTTGAGGACCATGGAGAATACAGTTATTACAAGAAAGAAAAGCTGATGAAACTGGGACTGTTTGCTTTAGAAGAGGTTGATAGAGACTGGGTTGTGGTACTAGGAGTTTCATTAGGTGACGTGAGAGCATCTACATCTCTAAAAGCTGGAAAGCGTCTCATCTATTAGGGAGGTTTACACACTGCTGTGCCGCAGTGGGGGAAGATGAGACATTGCAGAATCTGCCTTCCCTTTGGTGCTGCTGTCCTGTGCTCCACCTGAACTGAGGTAGTTCCTGAGCTTTAATCAGGGTGATTTCGTTAGAGAACTAATGACTTCTGGCTTTCCAGGAACTGGATGGTTAGTCCGTGTATATCTGGCACTTACCAAGTGCTGTCCAATCTGGAAGGCTTTGTGCCAGCTTCCCTGGGGAGGACAAGTTAATCAGGGCATAACTACCACCCTCAGAGATCTGGCAATCTTGTAGATGGTTGACTGTGCACAGCACAAGGCAGTGTGCATGTATTCTTTGGAGATAGGTCTGGGCCATGGAAGAAAAGCACCACAAGTAGTGAAAGCATTGTGGAATAGGGGGGATGGCAACAGTGATAGGCTAGACAGTCCCTAATTTGGGTCCCTCCACAAAATTCAGCAGAGTATCTACACTGGATCAAAGCCAAGTGGCTTCAGGAAACTAAAGATGTATTCCTTGTCTAGCATGCAGCAAGGTTTCAGACACTTGGCCAAGCCCTTGGGAGTGTTTTTTGGGTCTCCGCTCCCTGGGGCCCTGGCAGACGCCACTGACCGCCCAAAACAAATTCCTCTAGATTGAAGGGATGGATGATGACCCCGACGACCACATGTCCTACTTAACCGCCTTGGGCGCGGACTATCTGAGTTGTGACAGCCGCCTCATCAGTGACTTTGAAGACACCGACGGCGAAGGAGGTGCCTACACTGACAATGAGCTGGATGAGCCAGCCGAGGAGCCACTAGTGTCTTCCATCACCCGCTCCTCGGAGCCGGTGCAGCACGAGGAGGTGAGGGGAGGCAGGTGCAGGCTGCCAGGCCCGGGGCAGGAGAAATAGGTTCCAGTGTTTCACTGAATTCTTCTGGATAGATATTAACTCAGGGTGCTGTGAAGGGATTCCTGAGGGTTGGAGCAGGTGACAGTCAGGGAGCCTGCACTCTGAGTCAGTGCCTCTGAGCTCAAGCTTGTAGCAGTGACCCATGGGAAAGTAGGGCCAGAAAGAGGCCAATGATCAGCACTCTTTTGCCTCAGGCATGATGGGTAACAAAATGGCTGTTAATGGCAGCTGTCCAAATTACCAGTGGAACATTCAGTTTTAAATATGACATGGCTGTGTTTACTTGTAACCTTTGATTAGGTCTCTCTCTGTACTCTTAGGAGTCCTTGCTTTTCTTCTCCACTCTGTCTTTAACCTTCTAATCTTGCTGAAGCCCCCGAGTATTTCCCCATCAGTTTCCTTCTGTCTTGTATTTCAATTTTGTGATTGACTTTATGATCCATTATGCATCTGATCACATGTACTGTGCATCACTAGCCTGTCAGTTGACTGCTTATGTGGTCCTAGAAATTACCTCATGAGTTACTAGTTTATTGGTTGCACTTTTGAGAACATTTTGGAATAATGGACTTTGTCGGTGAGATTATATGTGGATGATTATTGCCATGGGCTTCCTGTTAGCAATTCAATGCAGTGAATATTTTTCTTTATGAAATATAAATATCAAAAACAAAAAGATGAAGGAGGAAAACCCAGCCACAGAAAAATAATTACTGTATACTGCTAAAAACAAATGTCCACATTTGTGGACTCCTAAATGTCCACAGAGATAGATGCTTAAAAATGTTAATATTTCTTAATGGCAGAGAAATTTTAGACTCTAATAGGGTTTCTGGTTTTGTTTTACAACTGAGCCTTAAAGGCAGACTCTGTTTTGTAAGATGCATCCTGTTCTAAACAAGTTGTCCTAAGCGTTTGCCAGTGGAAGGATGCTAGCTGCTGCTGTCTGCCATTTTGGTGGAGAAGACCTAACTCACTCCCTCTACTTGGACTCTTACAGTTTGCAGAACTCCAGCAAAGCAGACGAGTGCTCTCTTCTCTCTGCTCAGATTTCTTGCTGTAAATGAACCTTTATGTTTTATAGAGCATAAGGAAGCTCAGCCCAGAGCCACCAGCTCAGATGAGGAGGGCTGCTAGCAGAGATCAACTTAGGGACAGTAGCCCACCCCCAGCATTCAAGCCAGAACCGCCCAAGGTATGTGGTCCAGAAGCCGCAGGATGGGAAGGAGGAGCACACAGGTGACTTGAGTCCCTGGATCGCCCAGGAAGATCAAGTACAGTGATACTGGATTGTGGTTTGGGTGAACCCAGGAGTTACAGAAAGGCAAAAAAGATAAAGGCAGTAAAAGAGAGATATATAATTTAGGACTCTTAGAGTTTATTCATTTTTCTGACTTGACAAAGGCTGCATGTTCAGAATCATCAATCTCAGAATCTATTTTTTCTTTTTCTGTCCAAGATTTCTAGCCACAGTCTGAATTGGATGCCTCAGAAAATCCTTACTGGTGATTACTAAAGAAAACAATCATTATTATCCTTTAGCATGTCTCTCATTATGAAAGCAGCTTAATTTGTCTGTTACCCAGAATAGAGTCAGCCTGAGGACCCAAGGAAGTTGTGTTATATGATTCTTTATCACCAGTCAGAATCAAAGCTGTAACTATAGGGTTTTCCTTACACCCCAATGAAATGTCTCTGTTTAGCTCAGTAATTGGGATGAGAAGAAAACAGCAATTGAATGTATGAGCTGTCAGGAGTAATTACTGAGCTTGTGCCTTGTATCAGTGAAAAACCGCAAGCAGGGCTGGAAGCAAAGTGTGAAGGAGAAATGGCTTTCTTCTGCTGCCAGGCTCTCCCAGCCCGTCACCAGGCTCATTCCCTCTGGCTGAGCACAGGTCTCCAGGCTAGGAGACACCCCCTTCCTGCAGCCATGACCTCCAAAGTCATTGTCTCAGTCCTAAAGCTGATTTGTTCTGTGATTTCCACCAAAATTCTAATCTCCAGTACAAAATGACTCCAAGTCTAATCTCCCACTAGCAATGATAGCACTTCCAGTGCCCTCTTGGTTTTTGAAAGCTCTTGATCCTCTTTGCTAGGAAGGAAAATGGGCTCAGTATGCCCGACCAGTGGCTGCTTGCCCTCCATCTTTGCTTCTTTGTCAGAATGATATTTATCCACCACCTTTGGAAACTGATCAGGAAATGGAGTGTATTAAACCATTAATATAGATTTCAAAATAACCAAAAGCCCAAGGTAAAACAAACAAAAAAACCCCATGACTTTATTCTTTGTAGATAAAACCCCAGAACAGAGAAGAATCCTATGACTTCTCCAAATCCCAGGAATACAAGTCGAACCCCTCTGCCATGGGTGGCGATGACTTTCCCAGGACCACTGCCAGAGGTTGTCCTCCCCCTGTCGCGGCGAAACCCTCCTTTGGACGATCCGTCCAGAAGCCCTCCGTCCCTGTCCCTGCCCCTGAGAGTGAGGAGGTCGAGGAGAGAATCGAGGACCAAGAGAACGCTCCCAAATCAGTCCTGGGCAAAGTGAAAATATTTGAGAAGATGGATCACAAGGCGAGACTACAGAGGCTGCAAGAGCTCCAGGAAGCACAGAACGCACAGGTAACTGTGGCCAGGCCGCCAGAGGATCCCAGTGTGTTGGCAGAATAAGGGTTTTACCTAGGTCTGGTTTCACTATAATGGCACATGGTCCTTTCCACTGCTACAGAGGCGACAGGGGTGCTAGGGTACACAGCACTGTGTGTGTCACTACAGGTTGCAGGCCATCAGCACATCTTTTTTTCTCCCAATCAAGGAATAAGAGTAAGGTTCTGCTCTCCTGCTCTTCCTACTGTGCATGGGGCTTGGAACGGAGGAGTATGGTGATAAATCGGTACCTCGCAGAAGTCATTTTAGCTAGTAAGCTTATTCTGCTCTGATGACCGAGTATAACAGACTTTAGGGGCTGAAATGGAAAAATTTTACACTTTTAGCAGTCTGAGTTTTTGTTCTTGGTACACTTGCGACCTTTCCACACCACAGAAGAATATAAATGAAGCTGTGCGTGATGGCATACGCCTGGTATCCTGGTTGCTCAGAAAGCTGAGGCAGGAGGATCACTGTACCCCAGAAATCTGAGGGCAGCCTGGGCAACATAGTGAGGATCCTTTTTTTGACATAAAGATTCCTGGAGCATATCGTGCTGCCCGGAAGGAAGACAGGGCTGTTGTCATTTAAGTATGTCACAATAATAGTGCTTCTGAGCGTTTTTGTATTTTTTTAAGTTATGATAAAATATGCTTAATATAAATTTTACTGTTTTTAAGTGCACAGTGCAGTGACAGTATGTACATTCACATTGGTCATCACCATCCACGACCAGGACTTTGCATCCTCTCCAAAATAAAACTCCACCCCTCATGCACTAGCAACCTGCGGTCTCTCCTCTGTCCAGCCCTTGGCAGCAACCGTTTGACCTGTTTATGTGCCAAGTTAGGGATCTTATATAAGTGAAGCAAGACAATATTTGTCTTTTTGTGACTAGCTTATTTTGCTTTCTGTGATGGCCTCCAGGTTCGTGCATCTTACAGCATTTGTAAAGATTATACTTCCTTTAGACATTTTCTGTCTTTGACATGTACCACTAAGTACCACATGCAACCATGAAAACTGGAGTTACGTATTTTCCCTCTTCTCAAATTAGAGTAGGAAAGTAGGACAGCAGAAGGGATGGGCCCCAGGGAACCAGAAGGAAAATAAAACAACTGGTTCACTCTTCCCTTCCTGTTCTTCCCTGATGCTACAGATTGAAATCGCTCAGAAGCATCCCAGCATCTATGCAGTTCCAATCAAAGCACCCAAGCCGGATGCCGGCCTGCCCCAGCACACAAGGTAAGGGCGCCCCGAAGAGTGAGATCCATGGTAATTTTGGTGGGTACCTGGTACCCTTTGGTACTCGTATAGTTGGAATACATTACATTACACTGCGTTAGGGTAACACATGAGGAAATTTTAGGATTTCGACCCATTTTGTCACTGTTGTGTGTGGCTGTTTGCCAAGCTCCTTAATTCCTTTGCGTCACCAATGTCAAGCCAATGTGCTGACAGGTTTTAAGGGACTGTGAGAAGATGTTGGTAGTGTTGGTGAGGGGCTGTCTGAGTCACGCTTCTCTCGGCTGAGACAAAGCACCTGCCACCCAAAGTCAGAGGCCTGGTTTATTTCCCATAGTTTGTAGAGGTGTCAGGCCAGAGTAGTGCATGGCAGAGTTGTGTCATGGAAGAAGAGCAGTAGTCCGTGGCAAGCAGGACGGGCAGAAGGCAGCAAAGCAGCGAAGAAGCGGGAGCAGCGAGTGAGGGCAGCAGCCCCCTTTCTGTCCTTTGTGTTCTGTCCAGGCTACCTGCCCTGGGGCGGGAGCACACCCTTAATCCTGGCCGGGTACTGTTGCTCCCTGCCTTCGTCCTGAATCCTGTCATCACACACCCCAGATCCCCTCACCTCCAAAAGCCCTCGCTCTGCCCACGTGAAGCTTTGGGGTGACTTCTAGCTACAGGTCGTCCTTGTAAAGTGCTGCACAGCCGTTAGGAGTCACCCTGGCATCCTTCCCTGGAAGTTTTGCATTGGATATTTTCCTGCTTCCAAACCCAGGAAAAGAATAAATAAATCATTTTTTATAGCCACTCGGACTGAGTAGTTTTGTTTTATGGCACTAGAAAACCAGAAACAGGGGCCGGGGATTTAGCTCAGCGGCATAAGCGCCTGCATTGTAAGCAGGCAGTCGTGAGTTCGATCCCTGGTACCGATAAAAACGAAAAAGACAAAAAAAAAAAAAAACCAGAAGCAAATTTTCCTTTACCAGCTGAGTAGGTCACCTGTGGCAGCGCAGAGGACTTGGTATGACTGACGCTGGTTGAACGCTCCCCGAGTGTCCCCAGGGAACTCGGGTGGGAATGGCACCCTCTGTCCAATCCTTAGCTCAGGCAGCAGCTGGCTGGCTTCCCACTCAGGACTGCAGTAGGCCTTGGCCTTGCCATTTCCTATCCTACCCCACTACTTTGTGGACCAGGAGTAGAACCCCAAGTGCCCTGGTCCCTTGGCACTGCGTGCGCGGAGGTCAGCAGTGATCAGCTCGGTGTTGCCCGCTGAGCTGAAAGCTTCAGCACCACAGGCAGCTGGAGGATGTCACGTCCTGGGGATGTGTGTAACCTCTCTCTTTGTTAGTTCTAGACCCCCCGAGCCGCAGAAAGGGCCCTCCAGATTCTCTCAGAACATGCACGGAAGTTATGGAAGCGACGCGGAGGAGGAGGAGTACCGCCAGCAGCTGGCGGAGCACTCGAAGCGCAGTTACTTTGGCCAGCCAGCCAAGTACCGGGACACTGAGTTGTAGTACTGCACACGGACTCCTCTGGCCCATCTGCCGCCGCCTCAGACGCTTCTGCGAGGCCACTGGGATGTCACTGCCACTGCAGAAATGCACCGGCGTGGTGGAAACTGAGCTCGGTGTTTTCCTGGGCGCCCCAGGTGCCAGCCAGCACATACTGAGAACCAAGGCTCTGTTTGTGGGAGCAGGGTGGGGAAGTTTATTATGGCTTTGTGCTTAGAATTGAGAGGCACACTACAGTACAGATGCTGTTACCTGCTTCAGTAAACCAAAACCTGTATTAATGCTGTTGGTGTGTTTTTAATATGTATATTAAGGAGCAATAACTCAAGCAAGCTTCAGTGGGAGGCTGAATGTGGAAAAAAGAAAAAAATACACTGTTCGACTCGAATTAAATTTAAATGTAAAGTATTTTACTATAAAGTGCCTTTGACAAGCAGTGTCTTAAATTCTCCTTTAAAGCTTTATGCAAAGCCATAATGGACTAAAACTATCTGGACTACATTTTTTATACCAGTTTAATAGCCACGGATCTTCCCTGCACTGTTTCATCTTTTCAACGTGTTCATCTTTGTAATATTTTCTATAAATTCTGATTGTACATATAATAGCTAAACCTGGTAATTGGGTTGTAAAGTGCTAAAAAGCTTGAAGGCCACGAAGTTGGTATGGAAACTTTAAGAACAGGTGCTCCACAACAGAAGATGGTTGAGAAAAGCATTTTATTTTCACTAGTGTGTGTATCGATGGCCGTCAGTTTTATAATTTAATAAAAAGAAGAACACATCATGGTAATTGGCTTTGTGGTCAGTTTCTGTGCACACGCACATTCCGTGCTGAGGATTGAAGTCAGGGTGTCAGGATGGTAAGCGTGTGCTCCGCTAGCTGCAGCCTCGCCTTCCTGGTCTAAAGTGCAACATTCGTGTCCGTCAGTGATCATTCAGTGAAAGCCTGCTCATTGTCAAACACTGGAAAATGGAGCAAATATGAGTAACAATAAAGACTGCTTATAATCTTGTGTTTGGACCCCTTGTATCCATGTCCTCCAGGTGTGTATATTTGTTGATGTCTGTGTATCATACTTGTGAGATCAGACTGTATTTGCAGTCCTGTTTCATACTTCTTCAATTACTGTTTCATTTGTGAATACTTCCCCAAGTGGTTACATTTCCCTGCACACATCATTACTAATAACCGCAGATAATACATTCTGTGACTGCTGTTTCATATTCGAATAGTTCCTCTTTTGTTGGTCTTTGGATCATTTTAGCTTCCTGCCTCTATTACAGGAAACAAATGTTTCCTGCCTTTATGTACAACCCATATTTTGTATATTAGTGATCAGTATTTCAGCCTTTGCTGCAGATAAAGTCTCAGATGTGAAATTTCTAAGAGCCTATGAACATTTTTAGTGCTCTTGGTGATGTTTATTGCTGATTGCTATCTAGAAAGTTCATATCAGTTTCCCCTCTAACATTCACTCTTGAAAGATTGATGCAGGTTTCAAATTTAGACAGGACAGTTTAGGAATTTAAGATTACATGAATCAAAAGTAGACTGACTTTGGGAAAGGAGAAGAGCCTTGGTTCCATTAAGGAGCTCTTGCCATGTAAGTGGACCTAAAGGTGTTAAGCTTGTACATCAGTGGGTAGCAGTCTGGTGTACTGATCATGGGTCATGTGTTAGTATATAACGGTCCTGGGTTGTGCCTCTGTCTGGATGCTGCAATTCCTAAACCTTCCAGTGCCGGATCGTGCATTTTGGAACAGTACTCAAGGCACTAAAAGTTGCATATCAAATAAAAATCATCTTCTGGGAATAGAAGGAAAACAAACACTGGTAAAATACATGACAGTAGAGTTTGCTTGTGTCCTTTACATACAGGACTGAGCCCTTTTACAAATCAAGGGAGGCATAGGGAGGTTGCTCCCCAGCAAGGCTGTTACCCGCTCCAGCAGTTTTGAGTTGTATTAAATGGTGCAGAGAAGCAGGACCTCTTCCCAAGAATGCCCCAAGTGTGTCCAGAGGTCACCGTGCCTTTGCTACCCATGTTTTCGTATTTGGTTTGTTCTGGAAAGGATTTAAAACTGCCTACAATACATAGGAGTAAACTGGAAACAGTGATGCGAGTAAGCAAGACAGAAGAGAGGACTGTCGGGCTAGAGAAGAAAGGGCTGGGAGCGAGGCTGGTTTTCGTGCACCACGGGGCCCAGCCGCCCCAGGGGCTGGTGTGGAACATGGGATTGGATGATGCGCATGGTTTGATTCAGTGTCTGCGAGCGCGTGTGGAAGGAAGGTTGTTTGGGGATTTCTCCCCTCCTGCATTATTTTTATTCCTGGGGCTCGAATTTGGTACCCGCATACTTACAAAGATGATTCTGGAGGTCTGTTTCTTACTCTGTTCTTGTATAACACTGCTCCAAGGACTGCACAATAAAAGTTCTCAAGAAAGGACCAGAAACAGCAGTGTAGAGGCACCAGTCTGAAGTCTGCTTGATCCCTTCTGGAGGGCCTGGGGCCGAACTCCAGAATAGGAATGTGACATGCCTGATGTCCCAAGACAAATAAGTATGTTAATCATTTTTCAGCAAAATCCATTTTACCCACAGGCTGGTGGAGGGGTGTCATCTTTTATACATGGGGTAGGTAGTGAGGAATGCAAACCTCATGCATGTTTATAGGAATAATTCAAGTTGTGCACATCAGGTTTTGGGGGCACATTCTCATCCTTCCTCTTCTCTACCTTCCAGATAGCAGGCATAAGAAACACATGCACCCTCCCCTTAGGGCCAGTTAGAAAAGCCTTATCTAATGAGGGTTTTTGAAATGAAGATGTGCAACTTCTATACAAGGCAGCCAAAGCCACAGTCACAACTGGAGATTGGGAAACCCAGCATGTGTTGTCCAAGGCCCATTGTAGCTGAACAGGAAAGGACATACAGATCAAGGCTTGTTGGGCTCCCTGGAGGGTCAGCCATGGGCCAGCCACAGACGGGTGACATTCCATAGAGGAGGAGTGTAAAGGAAAGGTCCATCCTCAAGAAACAAGAGAGGTAGTCTTAACTGCAGAAGGAGGAAAGGATCTGTAAAGGAAAGGAGGAAATTGGTCTCATTGGGATCTTGCAAGATGACTCAATGAGGAGAGCTGAAGTGTGCTTTCAGGCCCTGGTCCCTAAACCCAGAGGAGGTGACCCTTCAGTGCAGTTTTTTTTTTTTTTTTTTTTTTTTTTTCCTTTTTATCGGTACCAGGGATCGAACTCATGACTGCCTGCTTGCAAGGCAGGCACTTATGCCGCTGAGCTAAATCCCCAGCCCCTTCAGTGCAGCTCTTATAGAAGGCCACTAGCCTGCCCATCCATTTCTGTTAAGGGCTATCTGTGTGCAGGCCAAGGACCTCCAGAGCTCACCCTCAGTTGCCTCCTCCCATCCTGAAATTTTTTGGGAGAAACCACGGCTGTTTGAGGACAAGAACCTCTTGTTATGGTCACCTTCTATGCTAACTGCAAGAAGAGAGAGAAGGAATGGGTCACCAAAAAAGGCCTGTGGCATTACTGAGAAGGAAGGGCACCACTCCTGCAGCGCAATTGGGGGAGGCAGGTTGATGTACTCGGGTTACAGCCTCTGGCATAGCAGTTTCTCCTGTTTCCTTAACAGCAGCCTAGTAGCGTGGCAAGAGCCAGTAATCGGGGATTGCACCCAGTAGCCTGGCTTGGGACGTGCTGTTGTCTCCACAGCCCCAGTTACAATGACTGAATCTTTTGAAGATCTTAGACTAGAATATCAGGGTCTTCCCTAGAGTCTGAGTAGTTTATCAAGTGAGACCAAATCATTGGAATTAGGGTCTCAGTGTCCTTTTGGGAAGGAAGAAGAGGGCCCAGTGGATGTCTGGGTTGCACATCTACTGAGTTCTTCAAGGCCGGGTTGGGTTGGGTTGGGTTTTCTGTACCGTGTCTGGAAGGACTGAGAGAAATAGCATCAGAGAAAGGTCCCTGTAAAGACAGAGAAGCTTTAGGGATGCATCCAGACAAAAAGCCATAAAAGTAAATGTTCTCCAGAGAATCAGGACTTAACAATGTATAAAGAGATTTATTGTAAGGTGTTAACATGCATGGTTGTGGCGGTTGGTTTGTCGGGTATCTTCAGGAAGACCAGCAGGCAAGATATCCAGGGAAGATGTCCAGTCCGAGTCCAAAGGCAGCTGCTGGCAGAATTCCCGCTGGCCAGGGGCCGGCCTGCCTTTGTTCTGTTCAAGCCTTTGGCTGTTTGGATGAGGCCCCCACATGTCGGAGGACAGTCTGCTTTACTCAGGGTTCACCACTTGAAATGTTAGTTTCATTTAAAAATAAAACAACACCTTCACAGAAACATCCAGAATGAAGTGTGACCAAATATTGGTTATAGTAGCTTAGCCAAGTTGACAGAAAATTAACTGTCAACAATCCGCCATCACCTTCCTCAGGGGGCCACCTCGGCAGCTGTTTTTGTCCAATGCTAAAGTATGAGCGAGCCAGAAAAAAAATTATGTAATTTAAATACATTTTCATGTATGTATATTTAATATGCAGTATTTACCCTGTATTTACATACATTTATATACAATAAATTTTTATGAATAGAATAGTGTTAAAGGGGAGTGGGGGTTTAGCTCAGTGGTGTAAGTACCTGCCTGGCAGGTGTGAGGTTATGAGTTCAGTTCACAGTACCAAACAAAAACATAGTCTGAATAGGTGAAAATGAGATTCAAGTAAATTGAAATTTCATTAAAAATAAGATATTTAACATTTTAAAGTAGTAGTGAAATAGTCCTGGAGATGCAGCTCTGTAGAACAATATTTAGTGAAATGAAATTTAAAATAAAAGCCTGAATAGTGGCAACATACACAGGTGCAGAGAGAGAGAGAAAGAGGAGACATACCTTATTTCCAGCTTCCCTTTTAATTTCTTTTTAATCTCATTTATTTACAGCCATTGGTTGCTTGGTATTCTTAAGGGATTGTTTCCAGGACCTCCCTTAGTTACCAAAATCTGCAAATGCTCAAGTCCCATATTAAAATTATCAATAGTAATTGCATACAACCTGTATACTTTAAATCATCTCTAGATTACTTATAATACCTACTACAGTGTCAGTGCTGTGAAATTAGCCATTATGTTGTTTATAGAGTAACCCATAAAAAGGAGTTTGAAAATGTTCGGCACAGGTACAATTTATTTTGTTTTTTTTTTAGTATTTTCCACCCTTGATTGAATATGCAGATAAGGAATCCACAGATAGAGAGGATTGACTATACACACAGATATTAAATTGGCACATTTTCATTCCCCAAACTAAAGACCACAGTGAATAACAGTACCTTGGATTGTATTTTGCGCACTAGTTATTGTAAGTGAGCCCTAGTCTCATTGCTTCTGCAGTGTGCAGATGCCGTTCCACCTAGTGAAGGCCACAGTCCAGATTCTTCCATGCTTCTTGAGTTGAGTCTCCAGGATGCATGACTGCGAAGGAATATTCTAGCTGAAATGAGTGATCCTGGGCGAGACGAATTGAGTTTTACCTTTACCTAATTCTTACTCTCAAAAGATAAAGGGAGAGACTTCTGGGAAGATGGAGCAACAATGGAGCCTCTCTGAGGTTTGGAATCCAGACACTGGAAAATAACTTGTGGAAGAGGAAAACACAAAGGAAGCAGATCCTTGTGAACCAGGGAAATTGAGACTTAGAAACTGAAGAGACGGGACACAGTGCACAAAAGGAAGGGACAACTGCACTTTCTCCCTGGCTCCCAGCTGGGTACCGAGGGAGAGCACTGGACTCCCGAGGGCTTAAGGAGAAATGCTGTGGTGGAACCGACTGGCAGATGCTGTGACCTGCAGCAGCTGGTGAGTGACACCAGCCCAAGTACCTGCCATCTTCACTGAAGAGAGTGCTTGGCCAGGTCCCATTTCAGGGAGGAGTCCATTGGATGAACCTGAGTCTCAGAACTGCAGCAGGTTGGATTCATTTCAGGGCTCCCAGTG